AATTATGTTGTAAAATAAGTATGTATGAAAATAAAAATTATGTTAAAAAATATAGGGTAGTGAGGATTTTGTGGTATTGAGTGTATGGATGAATGAGATAATAGATAAGAGAGTTGTTGTTGTGTTTTTAGTGTTTAGGGGTTAGGGATTCGCGGAGTGTGGAAATACCAAGAAGCCACGGTTTGGCCACTATTTTTTTCGTGGTTTTTTCGTGGCTTTCTGAAATTTCAGTTCTGATTTTCGGTTTGGCTCCAAAATTATAGGGTAAAGTCACCAAATAACTTGATTCCGCGGTTTATTTTTAGATTACCCACGGTTTGGCCACTATTTGTTTCGTGGCTTTTATTCGGTTTGGTTCGAAATTTTCGATTTCGTTCCAAATTTTCGGTTTGGTTCCAAAATTACAGGGTAAAGTCACCAAATAATTTGGTTCCGCGGTTTATTTTTAAGTTAGCCACGGTTAGGCCACTACTTTATCGTGGCTTAATTTTAGAGTTACTACACAACCCGTATGCTTCTTCTCATTTCAACACTTAGCCAAATTTTAGAGATTTCTCTCCCGACGATTTGTCTCCTTCTCACCTTCGCCGTCGCCGATCCTTTCTCTCTCACCCTCTCTGTATGTTACTAATCTTTCTCACCTCCTCTATTCCTTTCATTATTTGTTTAGATTAGAGTTCTTCTTTGTTTCGATTAGGGTTCTTCTCAGTGTCTTGTGTTTAGATTAGGGTTCTTCTATCTTTTTTTGTCTTGCATGTTTACTTCCTCAGATTCAATCGGTTGATTTAGGGTTTTTGTACACTTACCCAGATTCAATCGATTGATTTAGGGTTTTTGTACACTTCCCTAGATTCAATCGATTGATTTAGGGTTTGTCGATTCGTTTCTTGTGTTTAGATTAGGGTTCTTCTCTGTTTCTTGTCTTGCATGTTTAATTTCTGTCTCTAGCTTTACGGTTTTTTTTCATTTTTAGATTTACGGTTTCTTTTTTGTTTCTTTTTTAGATTTAGGGTTTGAATCTCTCCTATATATTGTTTAATGGGTTATTCTTGCATGTTTAGACTAACGGCATCGATTTAGGTTTGATTCTCTTATCTTTGATTTAGGGTTTGTCTCTGTTTTGATTTCTCTTCGTGTTTAGCTCTGTATCTTCGTTTAACTTCTTTATGTTAACTGCAGATGGCCTCAAGAAATGGACAATCCTCAGAAAGAGGACAAGATCAGACGGCTCCTCCGATGCCACCTGGTGCCACGGGAGTGGCTGCAAACAGACAAGCTTCTTCCTCTCGTTCAAATAGCTATCCGCAAATGTCTCTAAATGCCATGTTCAATTCTCCCGCTAGGATGTCCCAGCCACATCTCCATCCCGATAAGCTCAATGGAGCTTTATGGTAATTACTCACTCTTTACCTTAGAATCTTACATAAACTTAGTTTCTTGGTACCCGATAATTGATTAAAATATGTCATATGATTGTTAGCTTGCTTGTTTGTTTAGGATTGTCGCTTAGGTTTGATACAATGGTTAACTGTCATTAGATTTTTAGGGTAATGAGGATTTTGTGGTTTATAATTTGTTTATAATTGTAATAAAAACTTCTAATATTTATATGGTTCCTGATAATTGTCTAATTGTGTCTGATATCTCTGTCTCTGATATTTGTTGTCTGTTTAGGTTTTCTATTGACCCATCAGTCTACGCTTTCATCCGTGCAACATGGCAAGGATACTACATGGGACCTTGGAAGAGTTGGAGGTCTGTTCCAGAGGAAAGACGGAACGCATGGTGGCAGACATTTGTTGTAAGTGTTTTGTCTCTTTAATTGTCTTAATGATTCTTATTTGCTAATAACTAAATGTTTTTTTTTGTTTGCAGCAAAATTACTGCTGGGAGCCTCAGTTTAATGACTTGGTGTATGCCTTATGGAAGAAGGAAACGTGGACATCTATTGGTGAAAGGATTAGCACGAAGAAGAGGAAAAATAAGCAGCCTGCTTATATCAATGACCAGGACTGGACCACCCTTATGGAGTATTGGGCAACGGAAGAAGCCAAGAAGAGGAGCAAGAAAGCTGTTCAAAGCCGCAAGTCAGACCCGGAGGGTAAAGGAGAACACAAGCACAATGCAGGACCTTGTGGTTTTGCAAGGCATGAATATATAATGGTAAATTCTTATTTTTTTACACATTTTCTTTTACACATTTTCCTTAACTAATTTTCTTTTCTTTGTTATTGCAGACGGTTGAGAATGATGGTGAACCACCTTCCTACACNGTTCAAAGCCGCAAGTCAGACCCGGAGGGTAAAGGAGAACACAAGCACAATGCAGGACCTTGTGGTTTTGCAAGGCATGAATATATAATGGTAAATTCTTATTTTTTTACACATTTTCTTTTACACATTTTCCTTAACTAATTTTCTTTTCTTTGTTATTGCAGACGGTTGAGAATGATGGTGAACCACCTTCCTACACTGACCTTGTCAGGAGGACACACACACGCAAGGATGGCACTTTTATTGACTATCGAGCTGAAGAACTGGTGACTAAAGCTGAGATGGAAGCCACACAGCTCTCTAACACTGAAGGATCACCAGGAAGTACATCAACAGCATCAGCTCCTCCTCGCATCTTGTTAAACAAAGCGTATCTGAAGGTATGTTTTCAATATGTTGTCTTTTTGCGTTTTATCTTAATCTGGTGTTTAGAATTATACTTGGCGTTATAGATATTAATTGTTTGTTTCCTCTATAGAATTAGGTACTAATTAGGAATTATAAGCAAGCCTCTTATTTATAATGTTGTATGTGGAGTTGGTTTTGACTGAATATGTTTTACCTTTGCTGCAGAATGCTAAGGGTAAGAGGGGGCATATCTATGGACTCGGTAGTGCCCAGTATAGGGAAAATGCACCATCTTCAAGAGTCCCAGCTGCACTTGCCCGCAATCTGGAGTTGGAGTTGCGTGTGAATGGACTGGAGACAAGCTTGCAAAGCGTGCTTACTGATGTAAGTTCAGTAAAGGGGGATGTGGCAACAATGAAGGAGGACGTCTCAGCAACAAGGGCTGCAATCAATCAGCTCCTCCAAACATTTNGTATAGGGAAAATGCACCATCTTCAAGAGTCCCAGCTGCACTTGCCCGCAATCTGGAGTTGGAGTTGCGTGTGAATGGACTGGAGACAAGCTTGCAAAGCGTGCTTACTGATGTAAGTTCAGTAAAGGGGGATGTGGCAACAATGAAGGAGGACGTCTCAGCAACAAGGGCTGCAATCAATCAGCTCCTCCAAACATTTCTACCCCAAGCATCTCAGCAACAAGCTCCTTCCACTCAAGCTCAAGACCCTTCTCAGCCTTCCCAAGCCAACGGCTTTTAGATGCAAGTGTAGCATCATTTTCTCTTCATTGTTGCTTTTAACTTATGTAACATTCTTAAAACTCTATCCTTTTGTTCTTAAGACTAAATGCTTTGTTTAATATTAATTTTATGTTAAGTATTTTGTAAACCAACTTTCCATTAATATAATTTCATGTTTTGTTTAAGATTAATTATTAGAATGTCAATTAGTTTAATTGGTAAACTAAATCTGTAATCAAAAATAGAATCATTTAGCCAAAAAGGGTGGTTATATATTGCCACGAAAAACAAAGTGGCAAGAACGTGGCAAGTGTAAGCCACGATTATAAAACTTAAAACCGTGGCTAAAGATGCCACGAGAAAACAACGTGACAAAATTCGTGGTTGTGTAAAGCCACGATAAACTGCTAAAACCGTGGCTAAAATAGTGGCTTGAAGCCACGAAACTGTCGTGGTAAGACCGTGGCTAAAGATGCCACGAGAAAACAACGTGACAAAATCCGTGGTTGTGTAAAGCCACGATAAACTGCTAAAACCGTGGTTAAAAATAGTGGCTTGAAGCCACGAAAGTGTCGTGGTAAGACCGTGGCTTTTTAACCACGATAAGCCACGGTTTTTTTCAGCCACGAAGCTATAGCCACGGTAATCTTCTCGACATTGAATCGTGGCTTCTTATCAGATAGCCACGCTTTTTGGCTTACGGAGCCACGGTTTCGAAGTGGCTGTCTCGTGGCTATACGTAAGATTTCTACTAGTGTATGAATGATAACAAGTTAAAACTCCATGAATGATTTGATGTTATTATTAATTACCACGTAATATTTTCTACTGTCACGTTCCAACGCCTCATCAGAAACCCATTTGGGCATTGGACCTTTGTAGAAATCATGTACCGTGTTCTTGTCCCAATTTTCATCCAGACGCTCGTTACCTGATGTCTCTAAAAACAGTTAGTCCTCTAAATAATAAACCAAAAGTGAGCTATCCATAAACAGTTATATAGTCCTCATTAAACTCTTACGTATAGGCTTGATTCTGGAGGCTAGGTTGACCAACTTAAGTCTGACACCCAACCAACTTCCAAGTCCAAAATCGCTTAACAACGTCTGAAAAGTCAAGACCGAGCCAGTGGCAGGATCCGTTGCCTCCAACGTTATGAACGAGTCGTCGGATGAAGTCATCCGCTTCCTACACACCTCCCAGTTTTTAAACTTAAAGTTTGTTCCCTGTCAAAACCAAATAAAAAAAAACTCAGAAAAAAAGAAGAAGGTGATCATCATCATAAAGACAGCAAAAATAGTGATGAATGAAACCTTTTGAAGATTGTAGCACTGGAGTCCAATCCTAGCATAGAGACAGATATCATAGTTAGGATCATCTTCCCACGGAGACCTATATAATGTAGGCGGATCCAAACCATCAGCCTAGCAAAATCCGAACGACGAGCTTATTATATGGTCCATTAGTCGAATTCATCTCGTCAGCTAAACATATATATAAGATATCTTCTTACTTGGGAGTCCGAATAATCTTCTCCTTGATCATCAAACGGCGTCTTATTGTTCCCAATCTCCTCCTCCATATCCCTCAAACTTGTTATCAGATCGCAGGACAAGTCAAATAACCTAGAGAGCTAATAAGAAAACTAACAAAAACGTACTTTAAAAAAAAAAGTTTCTTAATAGGTAATAACCTGCATCTTGAGTAGAATTTGATTATTAGGTTTGTTATTTTTAATAAAAATAAATTAAATATGTTTAATTTGGATGTCAGTGTGGTTTTAGGTTTTTTTTTTAATCTCCTAAAATATAACTTTCCTTTTAAATTAATATTTATTATGTTTCGTTTGGTTAAATTTGTTGATGTTTTTGTTTTTTTTTCCGGGTAATAAACAAAAATTATTATTTTCTTTTTAGTTTCATATTATATAAATTTTAGATAGTTTTGATGTGGAACCAATGATTTTATATTATAGTTTCTAAACTATAACAGTTAGAGAAAATGAAAAGAAAATTATAAAGACAAATCAACTTACCATAGTTTGATCGATAGTGAAAGAAACATTGAGAAAAATAATATTTCAATTTCTAAGAGAATTATATACTTCAGTTGTAGTAAATATTTATATATATATATATATAAAAGTGTTAATGTCAATATGCACATGTATATGTATGTAAAAATATATAAAGATTGTAGATAAATATATAAAGATAATGTTAATTAATATTAAATAATATTTTTGTTCAAAATAACACATGTAAAAATAAAATTAATTAAAAAACTAATTGTATCTGTAAAAAGGGTGGGAACGGATCAAATATTTGGTTATTCGGAGGTATTTGTGTCGTTCCTTAGTCACCTGGTATTCGATTTCTCGGATATCCAGAATATTTTAGTATTTTAGCAGATATCCAACTTGATCCGTAAATAAAATAAAAATAAATGAAAATATCTCAAAATAATATAAAATAATAATATTGTATTAGTAAAATAAAACAACTATTTAAATTCTGATACCTAGTATAATTTTTACTACATCAAAATATTGTAAAACTTATATAAAATATAATATAATATATATAGCATATATATATATATTATTTAAATATATATATATATATGTGCATATAACAGATCGATCGGATATCCGTTTCTAAAATATTAGTATTAGTGATTTGTTTCATTTTTTTACGGATATTGCATTTAGAATTTGATTTGCTTCATAGAGTTACGAATATCTGAATTTTTCACTTCGAATCAAAATGAATAACGAATTGAATCAAATTTTATGAATATTTTCCCCAGCTATATCCGTAAACAATAGAATAATATATATAAATATAATTGTACATTTGCTTCTTTATCCGTTTTGATGACATAGCATATGTCATCACTACATTTGACAAGAAAAAAAATGACATGGCAGAGTCATAAGTTGACATGGATTGAAGTTAATTGTGACATGAACACTATATTTAATGTTGATTTGTATTTTTGGTACGATTTTTATAATATGGTAATAATTACAGATCATCGTTAATACAATATTTAAACTTGAAAAGTTTATTTCAAAAGGTAGTATTTACAAAAACAAATATTTGATAATTTTATTACCAAAATAACTATTCAAAATTTAATGCAATTTAAAAAATGTAATTTATAATCCCATTAAATATTTTAATATCTAAATTTTTTAAAGATATTATTTAGTTTTATGTTTTGATAATTATATACCTAACAATTTTTTTAAAAATTTTGAATATTTTAATTTCATATATTTTAACCAAACAAAATAGATAAAAATTCTTTCCAAAAATATAATTTTAAATATATATATATATGTATATATTTGCCTATTATAAAAAATATTTTACCTTAATTTTTATATATAATTAAATTTAAATTTAAAATTTATCTGAAGTAAATAATAAAATCTAAAAATAAAATATATTTAAAATTTAAAACTTTATTTTCTGCATATTATGCAGGAAAACACCTAATGTCTCTTATACTTGATGTTGTCCATATTAATCCTTATATTTCAACATATAATGCTGAAAGACGGTTGTTGCATGTAGGAGTGGGCACATATTGGATATCCGGATTTTTGAAGGTATTTGTGATTTGTTTCGTATATTATGGATATCTAATTTTGGTATTTGATTTGCTTAAGAAAAATACGGATATCCAGAAAAACGGATATCCGGAAAATAAATAGATATTTACGGATATTTACGAATACTTACGAATATCTCATACGTTTTGATTAATTTAAATAATCTTAAAATTTTAATACAAATTTGTTTTATAAAATATTTTTTGCATGATATATAAAATAAAAATTAAAAAATAGAGAAATTCCATATATATTTTGTAAAATTTGAAGTTTAAGTAACAATTATAATAACACAAAACTTAAGGAAAAAAATATAAATTTCATAATTTTTTTCTCTTCTTTTTATGTAATACTTTTATATAAGTAATAATGTAATAGAATTGGTCAAATCATATGCTAGAATAATAATTAAATAATTTTATACATTTAAATTTTTAAATCTAATCAAGATATACATGTATTTATATATTTTCGGATCGGTTCGGATATCCATTTACCAAAATTTTAATATTTGTGATTTGTTTCGATTTTAACGGATATTGATTTTTAGTATTTGCTTCGATTCGAAATTTTAAGGATATCCGGAATTTTCGGATCGAATGGAGACGAATAACGAATCAAATCAAATTTAACGGATAAAATTTTCTGTCCTAGTTGCATGCATGTAAATGATTCAATACCCATTTAATCTCAAACTGGGTGTCATGGTAGTATCTACAATTTTTTTCCTTTTATTTATTTTAAAATCATTTATATAAATTGAGATTATTGATTAGGATAATGGTTTGTAATTTTATTATTTTTAGGGTATTTGGGCTGGTATGATGTTTGGAGGAACCGCAGTTCAGAATGATTATATGTTTTATCACGATGAGGTGTGATTGGGAAAAAGAGGTAATTATTCTCTCTTTTCGCATACGATTTTTCTTTGTGTGATTTGTTTAGAGAACTCAATTTATTGATATTGATTTTCCTTTGTTGGTAAACTTTGCAGGTACAGATAGCTAATGTACGTGTTAACAAATGGTCCAAACAATAAGATGAAGAATTCTTGAATCAAGTCATCCTAAGCTTTTTATATATGAATCATCGCTGTTGGTATTGAAATGGTGTGTGTATGTTTATTAAACCGGTTAAATCGGTTTATGTTAGTATCGTAATGTTCCATAAGAAATCTAGAACCGGTGGGTTTCTTTTTACCAGCTTCGTGGCTTTTTCTACGAGAATGATGGTTCTCGAGCTATGAAACTGGGAGTGTCCACTGGAAAAATATATCAATAATGGCAGCGCGCCTAGCTCTTGATGGCCTCTCACAAGGTAAACCAACCCTTTTCAAAATCTGAATATTTTTTAATTAGTTGCATGATAATTCTCTGCTTCGAAGATTTAGCAACGAACACTTACAAACGATTTTATTATATACTCATTCATAGCATGTATACATCTCATATTCATAAGAGTCATGTATCAATAAATAACTAACCAGTTTTATAACTATAACAACAATAAAAGAGATTATTAATCGAACCTGGCCAGATTCTTTATCCATCGTTTGTAGTCTTCTAACGTTATTTATCTTTTAGATTCGATACCGAACCCCAAAAATCCTCATCCAAACGTATGCATCGCCAACAAAACTGGCTCAAAGCCTCTCTACAATTTTCAAGCCTCACTAAAACGGAAATCAGCTCGGCCGGAACTGCTCTCTGGCCCAATTCTTCAAACCTTATCATAAACAATCTTATCACCGAGATGTAATCTTCTTGCAATAGTCCCATTATCGTTATAACGATTCTGTTCGTTTTTACCGTAGGGGTTTTTGGTCTTGCACTTATATTCTCGAATAGATTCACCAAGAAATCGACTTGTTTGAAAATGCAATCGGTGTTGTAAGACGAGACTCGTTGAGTCTCCAGAAGCTTTTCTTCTAATTTTATGTTGGGAGTAACGCCTAAAACCTCCGCAGTGCAAAAGTAAATTTTAAGATATTCTTTGTACCTATTCAAATGAACAACAATTTTTAATAATCAAAATATAATAGAAAAAATAAAAACAACAATATCAATCTTTTTAATCCTTAAAACCAAAAGTATAACCCATACATATATGATCTTACCATTGAACCCAGGGAGCCAGCTCTTTAGTAAAACGAGATGCATCTACATTAAGATCATTCAACTTAAGAGTACTCTCTCCTTGGTTATAAATCAAATTACGGGGACTATTAGTGCCACGAAGACCTTCTCCTTTATAACCATTTTCACATTTAATCACAATATGGATAAGAATGAGACATTTAGAAGCCACGCACACATCCGTCGTCACACACAGCCTCTGCACAATCGCACTGATGGTCTGATGACAGAAACACGTTACCGCTGTCTGTTTGAGAAACTCGACGTATCTGTCGGAAGGTGGTTTGTTCGAGGTATGAGACGTGGCTTTCAAGACAGCTTCGTCAATGTTTTTGGCATCCACGGAACTACACAAATGAACCACATTGAGTTTCATCTGCGAGGCTGTGTCTTTTAATTTGCCACTCAATTTTTCCATCAGATCAATATTTTTTTTAATTTCGATTTTATCTTTATGAAATGTTTGTACATTGAGAAATGTAGGTTTGCATTTTGTAATATTTGAAGGATTCAGTCAATATATATATTCTTAATTATTTTTTATTAAGGTCAAACATGTTTGAGTAAAGATCTAACACGTTCTTATCTTCTTCTTCTTTTTTTCCTTTTCAAATTGCACATTTTTATCTTGATAATCATATCTTTAATTAGTCCAGATTAGTGTTTCAAAAAAAAAATATTAGTTCAGATTTTTTTTTTTTTGAGCAAATATTAGTTCAGATTATGAGATAGATTCTTAGAGCGAATCTTGATCTTTTATTACAATGATACTTTTTGAATTGTTTTTTTTTTATTGTTCTATCCATATTACTCCTCTATTTTTCAAAGAGTGTCTCATAGCATTTGTTTCTTGTCATTTACTTTTGGTTCAATATTAATTGCAATGAATTCATCTTATAAATGCATTTAAGGCATTTAATTATCTCAAATACTATTAATTAAATATATGTATTAAATGAAAATATAAATAATCTCTCTGTTTTATTATAAATCAATACCTTTAAAACAAAATCATTCTCTTTAATGAGATTTTTATGTTTTCAAAAAATATCCTTAATATTAAGAATAAATTTAATTATTCATTAATGACAATTTGGTCTTTTTATTATATATAGGTCTAAAATTATATACTAATGAGTTTTATGAATGGGTCAAATTCATCTTCTAATTATTAGTCCGCTGGTATTACCTCATTCGATCCGCCATGGAACGGGTCAATCGATATTTGAAAAAACTAAGTTGTGGGTGTGGGTGCATGTCAAATATATTTTACACGGGACGGATCCGGATTGTTCTATTTTCAATTGTATGTATCAGGTAATCTGCAAAAATAGATTTTTTTATAAAAACTATTTTTCAAAAATATACTAAATTTCGTTAAAATAATTATTTTTTTAAAAAATAAAAATTTAATTAAAATCTACTATTTAATATTAATTTTAAGGAAAAAACTAAAAAATAATTATTTTATTATTAATAATTATCCGTAGGTCCCGTGGATTATTCACAAAATTAAGTGGGACGAATACAAATAAAATTTATTTTCTTTGCTGGTCAGGCGGGTCGGGCAGGGCGAGTTTGACTCGCTTCCCAGCACCAAACGTAGTTAATTGATATTATTTTCCAAAATAAAACTACATAATTACATATAATACATTTACATAGATATTGATGATAATAATAAATTCAAAATCTACAATAATTTTAGAAAGTTATATTAGACAAGAACATTTTATATCATCATAGCAAAAAAAATTTTATCGATCCATTTGTGCACACGGATTAAGAAAACAATTAATTTTATATATTTTCTATATAAAAACACAATTACCAATACAGTTAACCACATCTTAACCAATAGAGAAACAAATTACATAATAAAGTTAATAAATGTTGTATTAAAAACCGAAACGACACTTATTTTGTAACGAAAAAATTTCTCTACAACGACACTTAATATAAACAGATGGAGTATATTTCAATCATTTTTCTAATTAGCCTTGGCAAAAAAAAATGAAACCAAAAAACCGAACCGGAACCGAAGCGAAATACCCGAAATCCGGACCAAAATTTTTAAATATCCGAATGGTTCCTATATTTCTATACCCAAAAATTTGAACCGGAACCGAACCGAGAACCGAACGGGTACCCGAATATCCAATTAAACAAGTTAAAGTTTTTTAATATAAGATAAAATGATATCAAACCCACTTGAACTCAGGTTGAATACAAAGAGTAAGTACATTTTTATCACCAGACCACATTATATTTTATTTAATCTCTTATATTATAAATATAAACAGTATTTCGATATTAAATAGGATAAATATATGTAAAATTAATATTTTATTGATTTGAACTCTTGTTGGGTTGACGAATATGTAAGCGTCTAAATACTAGACCATTTAAACTAACATATTAACTAATATATATTGTATATATATTTGATTTATATATTAAACGGGTAACCGGAACTGAAACCAAACCGAAATCTCCTAAATACCTATTGACTATAAGAATAATTTATCCGATATACCCAAAATCGAATGGTTCTTATTCGGAATCGAATTGAATATCTGAATGCCCAGGCCTACTTTTAATATGTATAAAATGTGTCAAGTGACATTTTTTGGAAACAGAACAAATCATTTAGCTAATGCTTGACTTTTTTTTGTATTTTGGGCCGATTGTTTTTATATATTTCTTTATATAGAAAAATATACTTTGTTCTTTCTTAAAGCTTCCACCTCATATATAGGTGCTCTAAAAATATGACACATCATCATTATTTTCAATTAATAACTTTTTCTTAAATTCTATCTATTTCTTGTTTATATCAAATCGATTAAAAAACTTTAATAATCTTTTTTAATCAACGTTTTATTTTCAATCCTTCCAAAATTTGTCATCAAAATTTTCAACAATTGATAATTTAGTAAACATGCATAGTATAATTCAAAATATCTAAAATAATAAATAGATAAAACTAATAAAAAAAAAGACCAAATTCATTTTCGATATTTATTTTTCATGTTTCCTAAAGCATCTCTTAACAAAAATCTGGGGTTGATTGATTGGTGTTGTACCTTTAATTTTTTTTTTGCTTTGGAACATAGGCTGTGGATTTTTTTGCTTTGGTTTTGATTATTTTGTTGTAGATTTATTTTCAAAGCACTAAATAAAATATATAGAAATATTGATTTTGAAAACTAAAATCTTTTTTTTTCTAAGCTTTTTGTTGTAGTTTTAATTTTTAAAAGTAAAGCTTGATTGCTTTAGAAAAATGCTCTAGAAAGAAAACGTAGTTTTTCAAAGTATCTACGGCACTTACCAATCAACCTCAGAGTCTCACATATTTTTCTTGAATCACTCAACTAAAGCTTAGAAAAACTATAGAAAAAAATGATTAAAAACCACAACCAAGATTTAATACATAATCAAAATAGAAATTAAAAAAAAACTAAATAATATAAATTTAACATAATATAACAAATAAAACAATAAAATTTTGTGAAAAATTAATCTAAAATACATAAATATCACTAATAGATAGAAAATTCAGAAGAACAAAAACCATAAAATATGTTTACTATAATTTTTCACATTTCATCAAAATTCAGAAGAACAAAAACCAGAGTTACTGAGAGATTTGTTTTTTTTTTCATTTTTGGTCATCGAACTCAAACTCTACAAATAATAAGAAACAAATTGAAGAAACCACACAATCAATTACTAATAAATGTTCAAAATAGAGATTTAAAAGTAAGAGTAAGTTTGAAAAATAAATACAACAAAATATAAAAGACTATAAAGGATCAGTAAAAAAAAAATAATTCAAAAATACATAAATCGAAGGAATAGATAGAAAATTATAAAAATAAAAAAAAATAGAGAAATTTATTTAAAAGACTAGAACTAAGATCAAAACTCAACATACTCATTCATTAACGACGATAAACATTATGGTGTCTACAGCACAAACATGACACAGACTTGAAACAACATGCAAAAGAGAAGCCTTACGCAATGAAACTAGAATTGCTCAACAGCTTACAGATTCTAGGGCTAAGCTTTTGGAGTGAAGTAACAGGAGAAGTAGCTGCTGATTCCACCATCTAGCCATTTTGCAATATCGCCCAAAATCAACAGAAAATGACATTTGATTGTAACATTTGGGACGATAAGGTACTAATATGTTTAGATAAAAAACTATTTGGGTCTAATAGGCAAGGACGCAAAGTAAAGAGGGACTATTAATGTAAAATTATATATTGAGGGAGAGAGTGTTACAAATCCGAAACGATGAGGATAAATCACAAGGGAGGTGCTTCGTCTTCTCGAAGCTTTTAGAAGTTACAAGTAATCCGACGAAGATGATCTCTCCGCGCAAGATCAAATCCGTTGATTTCTACAGGTTTGTTTTGCAGAAAACTTCGAATCTCCTCGATCTTCTAGGCCATTTTGTATCAATGAGAATCTCTAAGATTAGTAGTAAGGTTTAGTGGTGGAAGAGGCGGATCCTGAAGCTGTGTAGATTTTGCCTTGCATTTTTTCATGTGATGAACTTAGTGTAGATTTGACTGTTAAAGTGTAGATTCTACGCGAATTGTATCAAATTTTCGACTAACATCTGAGATTTGTGGCCGTTGCTTGCAGGAAAATTCCTAGGGATTTGACAGAGGCATCTCTCTCTGGAGCTGGATTGTCTATTGTAGCAGCTCTCTCTATGCTACTCTTATTTGGAATGGTTAAGTTTTACAACCTCACTGCATTTTTCGCCTATATTATATGACATTCTCTGTTGATTTGGTTCATCAAAAGTTTATATTAATGTCACTCATGCTTTGCAAGTTTCAACTCGTTTGACTAATTGATAATTTCGATCAATGCATAGTTAGGAAAAATTGACTGGCGTTTTGACTTTATAAGTTTCGGATTACAGGAATTGAGTAATTATTTGGCTGTCAGCACTGTAACGTCCATCATTACTGACAGGAGCTCTGATGGAGACTTCTTGCGCATGGATTTTAACTTAAGGTGCTTTCCACTGAGTATTTTTGCCTTTCAACACAAATGTCATATGGTTAATGACTGCATAGACGTTGTTCTACTCTTTTTTTTGAAACGTTAATTTATCTTAAGCACGCATTGTTTGTTGAATGCGTACCATCATATGTGTGTGGTCCAGTTAGAGTCGTGCAAAATTCATCATCTATCTAATTGCTAACTAGATACGGATTCTCTTTTTTTTTCTTTTTTTGGCAGCTTCCCGTCACTTTCATGTGAATTCGCATCTGTGGATGTTAGTGACGTCTTAGGAACTGTAAGTTTGGTTTCATCCCAAGTTTGTTTACATGCTTTTTGTTTGCTCATGGAAATTCTTTGTTTTTCAAAGCATTTAACCAACAATATTGTTTTCTCTCTTCTGATTTTGCTGACTTTTGTTTTCAGAACAGGCTAAATGTAACAAAGACAATTCGGAAATTTTCTATTGATTCGAATTTGAGACCCACTGGTTCTGAGTTTCACTCCGGGGAAGTTATATCGCACGTTAATCATGGGGATGAATCTGGTGAAGAATTAGTTGAAGGTTCTGTATCACTTAGTGCCCGCAACTTTGACACTTTCTTGCATGAGTAAGGAGTTTAAGTCCGTATTACACATTTCATATTCGTACATATATGCAAGAATACTAGGAGTATTTCCTAGTACGTACTCTTTTTTTTTGCTTCTTTTGACAACATATAAAGCATATATTTTGCAGGTATCCAATTTCTGTTGTTAATTTCTATGCTCCTTGGTGCTATTGGTGTAATCTCCTGGTAAGCTCACCTTGTATCTTGTGTCTTGGTCGTTTATATATTCTAGACGTCACAGCATATTTTCCATCTAGAACCACATTGTGTTGCTTGTTTGTTGGCAATGGTCATATTAGCGTTTTTACTAGAGGGGATCCTACATGTTTGGTTCCTAGGACGAGCTTAGACTACAATGTACCTAGTCAATCCTTCCTGAGAATCATCTTTGGCTATAATCGTAATAAGTTCCTCATGGAAAGACTACACTTATCTGATCCATGGTTCAAGTTGAGTTTGTGCATAAAACTTATAAAAGTAGATTGATTTTTGGTGGCATTTTATGCACAGTAAGGTGGTAACTTTGCTGATCTTACTTACTTGAAGACTATAACTTTAGTCTCCGTTTTCAGAAACCATCATGGGAGAAAGCAGCAAACCAAATAAAAGAGAGGTATGCCATTATACTCTCTCTTTAGATAAAGGATCTTTGATACAGTTTTTCCTTAGAACCTTCTTGATTTTCGTAGATATGATCCAGAAATGGACGGACGTGTTATTTTGGCTAAAGTTGACTGCACACAGGAAGGTGATCTCTGTCGAAGGTAGATCCTATCATATTTGATCTGGTTTTTCATCTTGGCTTAAGCTACAAAACTTTATAACTTCCCTTCCCTGCAAAGAATAATATCCATAAAGAGCTGCTATTACACTCATCTCCACGGAATAACCATTTGAATTTATGCAAAAAAAATGAAATTGAAACTGAAAAGTCTTCACGAGTATGGGCTACTATGAGCCAGTAATGTATTGCCGACTCATGTTGGATTATCCGAGATGTCTTTAATCAATGTTTTGTCAATAACGGCTAAGATGTTTCTGTTCGTAACTAGAAGGTGGGATAGTCAGCTACTTTATAAGTCTGTATCGGCTTCGTATAAATGGTTTTTGTTTTACGTAAAATACTACATGCACCTCATGAAAAGATAGTAAAGGTCGAACCAAAGAAAGACACACCATACATAGGTTAAGGACTTCCTTTGCGATCCCATCTGCTATTGCATAACGCATTCTCTGCAATCCTATGCCAGCTTTAAGGTAGTATTTATTCTCATAGTTTTCCTCTGAAAATGACTCTAGGAATCACATACAAGGGTATCCATCCATTCGGATTTTCCGTAAAGGCAGTGATCTTAGGTAAGAGAATGTAACTCCTAGTTTACATGTTAATATAAAACATAACCATCATTCTCTTGATTTCTATAAGCTCTAAGTTATCTACTTTCTTTTCGTCTGCTTGATTACTTTCTTAATAGGGATGATGATGCACACCACGATCATGAATCGTACTATGGAGATCGTGATACAGAGAGCTTAGTGAAGGTAGTTATTGTTCTAGGTTTCCGTTCAACATCTTTTCCTTGTCCCTTAGACAAGTTAAACAAGGGTTGGGGTTTGTGCCTCATTTGTAGTTTATTGCTGAATATTTTGCGTTCCCCTATAGATGGTGATGGGTCTGGTTGACCCAATCCATGTAGAACCTCACAAACTAGCATTAGAGGACAAATCAGACAATGCATCGAAGACAGTAAAGAAGGCACCTTCTACAGGAGGATGTCGCATTGAAGGATACATGCGTGTAAAGAAGGTAAGCATTTGATGAGGAAAAACTACTCTTGCTTCGTCTTTTGTCTTCTAAATCGCTTAAAAACTCCCAATGGTCTCTGCAGGTTCCAGGCAACCTATTGGTTTCAGCTCGCTCGGAATCTCATTCATTTGATTCTTCTCAGATGAATATGTCTCATGTCGTTAACCATCTTTCATTTGGACGGAGGGTTTTGCCTGAAACATTTGCTGATTTAAAGCGCTTGGCACCGTATCTCGGCGGAAGTCACAACCGTTTGGACGGCCGCTCCTTCATAAACCAACATGATCTTGGCCCTAATGTTACCGTAAGTTTGTATAGTTCAGGAAAAAGTACTATTGATATAATGTATTTGTGCTTTTTGAGCATGCTTTAAGGTGTTGTTTGCCATGGACAGATCGAGCATTATCTTCAAATAGTAAAGACAGAGGTATTGAAAAGCAATGGACATACGTTGATTGAGGAGTATGAGTACACAGCACATAGCAGCGTTGCTCATAGTTACTATTTACCAGTCGCCAAGTTTCACTTCGAGCTCTCACCGATGCAGGTAGGCTTCAACATTCATTTTGCTGCCTAGTCACATCTGTTGCCATTGTCTAGCTTCCTAGTCTCCATTGATGCCGAGCACACTGGGCAGAACCCACCATCACGGGCTGGTCCGTACATGGACAACAACCGTTGCAGTAGCACTCTTCTAATCTTGTTTTTTAAATGGTTGCAGGTTCTAATAACAGAAAACTCGAAATCCTTCTCACACTTCATTACTAACGTGTGCGCCATTATCGGTGGTGTTTTCACGGTTAGTACTTAGTAGAGTACTTAGACGCCCTCTTCTTCTTGTTATAGTTTATTAAGACATCCCCCTATGACTCGGTGTTTCTTTTCCTTCGTCTCCAGGTTGCCGGAATCTTGGATTCTATTCTCCACCAGACGATGACGCTGATGAAAAAGATTGAACTTGGTAAAAACTTTTGAAGCTTTGCCTACGAGTTTCATTACGTTTTCTATGTAAAGAATCCGAAAATTCTGTTATCTTTACACAACGTGACAAAACTATAAAAAGTTAAATATATTAGGAAAATGCATATCCTATGAAATGTTCGAGCTAAAGCCTATAAACGTTTTGTTAACATGTGTCAAGGACTCGAGAGTAACAACTCGTCATTTTAAAAGTTAGAAACACTGGCAAAAACCAACATCAGATTATTATACACGATAGTAGTGTCTTAAAGGTTCCTTTATCTTCATAGTAGTGAAGATAGTAGTAGTGTCTTCACACTACACACAATAGTAGTGTCTTACGAGGAAATATCAAGACCTTAATCTTCATTTCGATACCATTTAGATCATAGGAAATACTGTTGTTGTAGAGACATTGAAGTCGTAAAGGTTTCTTAACATTAAACGAAAGATGAAAGTTGTAAAGGTTTCAAAACTGAGTTGATAATCCAAAACCCAAAATACAAATAACAGATTCGCAGATATAAAAAAAAAACTCAAGCGGTGATCTCCTTCTTGAGCTTTGCAAGTTCTTGCCTGACAACACCAGCTTTCTGCAAAACAAACAAACAACAAGCTAATTAACATTGCAGTTTTAAAACATAATAATAGAATTCTCAAAACTCATTTAACACACTGACCTTGATTTTGGCCAACATGATCTTGAACCTATCGAAATCGTTGAGGCTAGCCCTACGCTTCTGGACGATAAGCTTCCTACCCCATGAACTCTTCTCCCACTTGTTCTTCACGTCTGCAAATAACTTTCAAGGATTAGACTGCAACACTTTCAAATTTCAAAGTTACAATATTCTCGCTCACCAGCTTTCTCCATAGCTTCGATCAAAGCCTTCTTTTTTGGCACTCGGTTGATCTCAATAACGATATCAGTAAGAGACAACCTCTTGAAGTTCATTTGGATCCTCTCCATGTCAGGGGCATCTACTAAAGCCTAAACGACAAGAACAACAACAGGGTTCCATAAGAAACATTTACACAGTCTAGTAAAGGTAATGACTTTACAGTACCCATCAACAAATTAATAATCTTTAATCAAATATCGAATACGACTCATTTAAGAATCATTTAAGAAAGACACTTGCAACTAGTTCAGATACAAAACAACAAAAGGATCATGACTTTACAATACTCATAAGCAAATTAATTAGTTTTAATCAAATATTGATCAAGACTCGGTAAACCGACAACTTGCAGTTAGTTCTAACACACAAGAACAAACCAAGGTTCCATAAGAACATCTACACAAAGTCTAGTAAAGGTAATGACTTTACAGTACCCATCAGCAAAATAATTAGCTTTTAATCAAATATCAACAAAAGACCCATTCAGAAACATGCAATTTGCAGCTTGTTCAAATACACACAACAAAAAAAAAATATGAAACCTTTGTGATGTTATAGATTTGAATCAACTTACTCTGTTCTGGTCAACAACGTCGACGATAACAACGAGCTTTCCATGGTCTTTTCCGTAGTTGACAAGAGCAACTCTCCCTATCTCCACGTACCTCTTGAAAACCTGAGCGATCACAAACACTCATATGAGATCTTACAAAACATTGGTCGATGTTAAAGACATAAAGCTCCACTTGAGTGGAGATACGTGAAAACATCAAGAAGGAAGATGTCGGAAATGTATTGTCTCACCATTTTCGCCGCCGGTAGATTTGGAAGGTAGAAGCTAAGTGTGACGAGCAACAGCGTAAGCGTCTAGGTTTTTGCTGATGAGACTATATAAACGTAAGTACTTTAGGGTTTTCTATTTTGGGCCTTATATTATTTAAATAAATAAAAGCCCACAAGGCCCAATACGTTGAGAGTCAGTCGTCCCTAGCTTTGCTCTTGCGTTGGTGCGTTCTGTATTGCTATCTAGGGCTGGCACAATTACCCGTTACTCAGTTTATACTTATTATCCGCTTCGTATTTGCTCCGTAAATTCAAGTACTTGTCATAATCAAGGTAAGTAATAAGTTAAAAAAATTCAATTACTCGTAAATTCAAGTAAAGTATCAAGTTTAGATTTATTTTAACTACTTGACTTGTTTCGACTCGTTACTTGATTTTCAAAATATTTTATAACATTTATATTGTTATTTCGGCTAATTTAATACTTATATAAAATATCTTAACTTTTGAAAATATAAAATTATCTATACAACATATGTATAAGAAAGAGAGGAATAGGTTCTTCATGTCGGTAAAAAGGATTATAGTTTTTTTTTATTTTCAAGCATATATGACTAAATAATTCTCTTATTTTTAACTAAACTCTATTCTATATTATCATATCACACATTGGTTGTAATAGAGAAGTGAAAAAGATTAATATAAAATAAAGGCAATTCACCTATTCTTAGGATCATCGAGATTTATTTATTTTATAAAGATCAAAAATACATAAATCTTACTATATATAAGCAAGTATAAATCTAACAAATTACTCGCAAGTATCATAAATATAGACAAGTATTTGTGTCACCAAATACTTGGTATTAACAAATATAAGTACAAGGCAAATGTTTTAATACCCGGACGGGGCAAGTCGAGTTATAAGTATAGCGAAAATTTCGGATACTTACCCCGTGCCCAGCCCTATTGCTATCCGGTGACTAGAAACTTGGATGCTAAGTAAATAATGTTATGTAGCCATTAAAATTCACATGAAATATCTAATAAATTTTTTTTTTAAATTGAACTGATTTTCAGATGATATCATTGACAAATATTATAGATCCAAGTTTTCTAATGAGATCTAATACATAATTACATATTCATCTAGTCAAAATGTTGGTAATAAAATAAGTGTTTGTCTCTATGTCAAACAAATCAAGTAGAGTCTTTATTTTGTTGTTTTCTCTTTTATTTGCATTGGTGGTCTGGAATATTCTTGGAGCCTTGAATTACCTCACTCAACATATATATCTTCGTTTTCTCATGATCTTCTAGACCAAAAGCACAATTATAATAAAGTGCAATAGTGTATTAACTGAGAATCACTCTGCATCAGTTCCTTTTGATTAATGGATACAAGACAAATCTTTGAATCGAGATAATACAAACGTTCTCTCCAAGTTCTTTAACCATGGCTAAACAGTAAGCAACTTACACAATCAACTAAAGCATACCTAAACACTGCTTAAAACCGATCATTCATCACAAGAAACGTTGTGGCCACGAGGAGAATCAAAGGCAAGAATCTGATACATGATAACCTCTCCCCATAACTCTTTTTTTTGGAAAATACTTAGGACGCTCACACTCTACTCAATTAAAGAAAACTCTCTTAGGGAACCCATCTCCTCGTGCAGTATTCAAACTCCCAAATGCTTTTAAACGATATAACTGACTGCATTTTCCCTGGAACCTGAGGGTCTCTCGCAGGGTTGGACCCATTTGTGAGACCAATCAAGTAGTTCATACCACGAACTCCTTGAAAGAAAATGGTCTGGTTCTTAGGTGGAACTCTTATCCCATTAAACAAGTAAACATTCTCGTACCCTAAACAAGTAGTTCTCGTACCCAAACCCACAGCAGCAAACCAATCCTCCACTGCATTATCTTCCCAGTTAAACAACGTCACCCTCGCAGACCATCCATCAGCGTAGTCCGAGTTAACATGCCAGTTTAAGCTGATCCCACAGTTGTCAGGATAAGGAAGCTTCTTAGGAACAGCCATGTGTTTCCTCTTGGCCCATACTTTTGCTTTTAACGTCCTGTTCTCAAACGGTACCAAGAGCAAGTCGGGAGGGAGGAGAAGCTTAAGCGAACGTACCTTCTACATCTCTACCGTGTTTTCTAAGTTTCTTAGGGCGCAAGAAAGAGAAAATAGAGAAAAGAGGGATCAGCAGAAAGCTTAAGCGAATTGGAGAGGCAGAGCATAACGGTTTCTCTTCCTCTAGCTCTTCCCTGTTTCCCCGGAGAAAACAGAGATAATACAAAAAATAAATTAAAGGAGAAGAAAACGTAAATTTTATCACAATAATGTAAAATCTGTGTAAACCGGGCCTGAACAAATTGTTCAATATCTTGATGATACACATACAGCCACCGAGTCTGAAACCTATGTGACGTAAAAGATACTTAGCCTAGAAAAATCAGAACAAGGTTTGTGTATCCTCCAAGTTCATAGGACTTACCAAACTTAGGATAATGAAATTGAAAGAGGATCGATTCAGTTTATTCCACACTTTGACCTAGTATCCTAGTTTACACTCTTCAGAATTTGTAGAAAAAGACAAACAAGAAATGAAGTCAAGGAGGAATTCTTAACGATCTCATATCACACAAGTAGCAAGAGTAACACAAAGAACATACTATAGAAGTTCGAAATAAACGAGAAACAAGAGATCATCAAAGAGGAACTTCGTGTTTTGATAACAGTAAGGATAACAGCAGAGCAGAATAAAGCAAACAGTATCTTAGAGACAATGCAGCTTAGAAACCATGGATCTTGATGTTGTCCTTCTTCACAAGCCCAGCCTGTTCCATGAGCAAGGGAATAGAAATAAGATCATGCAAGTAAAAACAATAATCAAGTTAGGAGTGTGATTATTACCTGGACTAGGAACGTAGAGACGTTCTTTCTCTGGTCTCCTTGAAGCTGGATAACCTACACATTTTCACAGCAGAACAATTTAAGAGAAAGCACATATGCAAAGGACACTCGGTGATAAACTTTGTGTTTATATCTTTAACTGCTTACTGCATTGTTCTAATGGTAATAATATGCTAAAAAAACACGCACCTGTCCGAGTTCGGAGTCTTGAACGACAGTACCGTTGCAACAAAACTCTTTCTTGAGGTCTTTAAGTATCTTAGTGTAGCTGTACTCTTTCTTAAGCCCCTGGACGGTTGTCAAGCTTTTTCTACCATTACGCTGCTGCACACGAATGTGGACGTACTCCTTTGTTCCCGCACCTGAGTCCTCAGCATTCGCATCAGCAAACGGGTCTGCGTGGAAAATCCAAAACAAAAACTCATCAGATCATATAGACTCCAACATGAGAAACATTTACAAAAACCCCCTAATGGATTATATGGATCAAATCTATAACTGGAACTTACCGAAGGCAGTAGGGACCTGGGAATCAAGTTCAGACATGAAACTTTGTTGATCTGATGGGTAAAAACGGACAAAGAAGCTGAGACCTGAATAAGAACACCAACCGTCACATAAAGAGTTTGGTACTAAAAACATAACAATAAACACAGAACAATTCTTGTGACAAAAAAAAAACACAGAACAATTCTAGTACTAAGTCACTTTCACTTAAAAGATTATGATTAACCAAAACTAAAAAAATGAAGACAAATCACGATCATGTGATCACTCACGAACCTATTTAAGTAGATCCATTTATGATTTTTATATACGAATCCATCAAATTTCGAAGGAGATCAAATCAAGATCCGGTTTTTTTTATAATTGGATAGATCATCGTCCAATCTTATGGATCGAACGACCGAATTAGATTACAACTCGAAATTACATAAATCAAAGAACGATCAAGGGGGGAAATGATGATCTGCTGAATAACGATTAAAAAAAAGAGGAGAAATGAAGGAGAATTGAACCTGATTCGAGGATTAGGGTTTCGAGGATCTGATGATTAAAGGAGAGAGAGAGATGAAACCCTAGATTCGCTTCGGATAAAGTCTGCAACTTCTGTTTCAGATGGAGAGAAACTATCGAGTGACAGAGGTAAAGATAGTTTGGTCTGAAGTTGTATTTTGTCAATCTCTTGTTGGGTTTGGGCTTTATACTTGCTATCTTAGTGGGCTTCTTTTTCGTACTTATGGATACTTGGTAGCTGTGTGCTTCTTTACACCAGTTCTAATCCTCCCATCAGATGTGTAATCAGTTTTCTTTAATCGAATTACTAGTATTACTAGATTTTGACGCACGCTTTTCCAGCGCGGAAATTTTTTATGATTAAAAATTTATATAACTGGGTTTTGTCTTAATTTAAAAAATGTTTTGGTATAAAATTAGTTTATCAAAATTTGTGGTGATAGTTGGTTTTCATTAGTTTTTAGTTTCAGTTTTTATTTTTAGATTTTGTTTTAAGTTTTGGTTTTTGGTTTTTAGTTTTTAAGTTTCTATTTTTGATTTTCAGCTTTTGGTTTGAGTTTTTAATTTTTAGATCCGCTGAGTTAGTTTGAACTGATATTACCAACAAACAAATCTCAATTAATCGAACATGTAATTTAAAACTGAAAAGATGACAAAATAATTTTCTAAAAATTTTGAAATAGTTTATTTTGCAAATAAAAAAGCAAAAAATATCTGCGTTTTCAGCTTTTGGTTTTGGATTTTAGTTTTTTTGTTTTGGTGTTTGGTTTTGCTTTGCATTTTTTCTTAAATCTGTAAATTATTTAAGAAAAATAAAATAATAAATTATTTAAAAGTTACCATTAAAATTTATCAAGATAGAGTGATTGTTATTTAAAATAAAAATATTAACATGTTTTAAAGTACATGATTTAAATAATTAACTAATAATAGATAATTTTGTTTTGTTGAAAATATTAAATATATTTGGGCTAAAAAATATTAACATGTTTTAAAGTACATAATTTAAATAAGTGATTAATAATAGATAATTGTGTTTTGTTGAAAATATTAAATATTTTTGGGCCTGAAAATAGTAATTGATTTTTGGTCCATTAAGGTGGAAAGTTTATTTAATGTTTATTGGAGTAATACTAAGCCCAAAAACTAAACAGTTAAATGTCATTAAAACAAAAGTAAGCCCAAAACACTATTCCATAAATAACTGCCGGTTTAATTTAAGTAATGCGGTTCAATCAACTATATAACTTGTATTATTTGTAACACTCTAGAAAGGTCCAAATTTAAATGACAACTTATATCAGTAGATAAAAAAATGACTATATTTTAATAGAGTAAATAGAGTAGATGTCCATGCTTTGCACTGGCAAAGTAGTTTTAATGATATTTCAATCTAAATGGGAGCTAAAATAATGGATGACTGAATCAAATTTTGATGTCTTTTTGGCCCTAATCAACAAAGAATAATAAAAATAAATAAAAACTCAGATATCAAAAAATGCCTGAATGAAATGGACTAAATTGGAGATAACACAACCATACCTAAGAAACTTGGTTTGAGAATAATGTCTTGATGGATGTTCATCCTAATTGGTATTTGTGTGCACGGTTATACATTTATATCTCATTTGAACTTGAATGGACTAGCAAATTAAAAAAAAAAACTTCAAACTGAAAACAAAGCTTTCAATATTGAATAACTAGGAAATTTGGTTTTAGCCTATGTTTTAAAACATTTGTATATTGTCGCATGTCAGAATATGAGCTACACATCATACACGCATGGTTGCATTGCATGCAGACTCGGAGACTTGTCACTCTAACCACATTTGAGTTTCCATCACCTAGTCGCGACAACAACAACCTTATCCCTCTCACAAACAAACACATGCATCCAATGTTACACGTGATCTCCATGCAAAATTTCTTTGTCACAAAAGTTCCAAAAAAAAAAAAACTTATGTCACCTATAAATACTAAACAACTCTTCACTTCACTCTTCACTCACAACAAACACACAAGAAACACATAAACAAATAGCAAATGGCCAACAAGCTCTTCATCGTCTCCGCCACTCTCGCCTTCTTCTTCCTCCTCACCAACGCCTCCATCTACCGCACTGTCGTCGAGTTCGAAGAAGATGACGCCACTGACCCTATAGGCCCATTCAGGCCACCACAGAAATGTCAGAAGGAGTTTCAGCAATCACAAAACCTAAGAGCTTGCCAGCAGTGGATCCACAAGCAAGCAATGAAACCCCATGTTGGTCCCGCGGCCCTTGACGGTGACTTCGAAGACGACATGGAGAACCCCCATGGCCCACAAGAGAGACCACCACTACTCCAGCAATGCTGCAATGAGCTTCACCAGGAAGACACAGTTTGTGTTTGCCCATCTTTGAAGCATGCATCCAAAGAGGTTAGATACCAAGTTCAACAGAGACGGCAGCAGGTACATCCCCAAATAGTGAGCCGTATCTACCAGACCGCTGCACACTTGCCTAGCATGTGCAACGTCCAACAAGTTAGCGTTTGTCCTTTCCAGCCTGACATGTCTTTCCCTCCCTACTACTAGATTCCAAACCAAACTCTCGGGAGTGTATCATGGTGATGAGTGTAGTTGTCGATGAATGTTACCACTACACAGTAATCGTGTGTGTTCTATAAGAAATGTAACTTTAATAAGTTTTGAGGCTGATGTTATTAGCACTACGACCATAATAAAAGAGAGGTTTTCTTGTTATTACTAGCCCTTGCAGATGTTTAAAAAGTGATAACAAACAAAAATAATCAGTCTATTCAGTATTCACAATTAAGTTAGTATAGATGTCTAATTAACATGATAGACTAGTGGTCAATGTACTGTCTAAATACTATACATTCAAAATTTTACGTTATGGGAAATTATTAGCATATTTTACAAACAGTATAACGAGGAATTATAGGAAACTAGAATAATGCAATAACATACATGTTGAAGAACAGAATGTTACTAAGATTGTTACTGTGATCATGATTTAGAGCATCATTATCCCACATACTCATCTAGGGGTTCTTAATTTTATTTAAATAATTTTTAGTTAGAAAAGTGGTTTAAGAGATTTAGTTAAGAGACATATATATTTGTGTGGTCCATTGCAAGTCTTTTATTTAAAGGTTCTTAAAAAAAAATTAAACATTTCTCAACACTTGCCATATCTTTCAGACTACCATCTCCCATACCATCACAGTAGCAAGTATTCATTCAAACATGATCCAAAGTAACCAAATTTACAGAACAATCAAAGTGAAGTTTGATGGGTGTTGTTGGAGCAGACAGAAGCAACGAGAATGAAATCAAGTCCAATGGACACTCTGTAACACATATACAAAAGGAATCAATCAACACAACAACAACATTAAAAAAAGGAAGAGGAGATAAATAAAACTTTTCCCGCAGCTGAGACTAGACGGGCCAATACCACGGATATGATTCATCAAAAGTAAACATTAACCAAATCTCAAAACAGAGAACAAAAAAAAGTTATCTAATCACTACTACAAAATCAGATCATAATTATCAGAAAAGATCAATGGAAGATAAGAAACATACAGATGGTTTCATGTGTTTCCAAAACCCTCCATTTCTTGCTTCCTCTTCCATTTTCAATGATTCCCTAACCTGCAGCAATTCGAACGATTCTCATGAACATCGAATACACACAAGAAACTGAATAATTTCATAAAAGCTAGAGACTTTATCTTCTACAGAAGAAACCAGATTGATTTCAACGAAATCAAATTGAAAACTTACGGTTTTAAGCTGACCAAAGACTTGGCCTTTTCCAAGGAACGGCTTGCGACGGCGGCGATGGTGGCGTTTGGAGCGAGGTGGATGGCACATGAGATTTGCGGGCGATCTGCGCGCAGCCCATTACTCCGATTCGGATTGGCGTGTCGGGGGAGAGAGGAAGAGATAGAGACGAGTGAAGGAAGGAAGCGAGGAAGAGAAGATAACGCAGAATAGAGACACTTCATTTTTTTTTTAACGCAGACACGTGGCCAAGAAGATACGGACTCTTCATCTCCTAATTAGGAGACGTTTATTCGGTAAATATGTATTTTTCATTTATTTTTAAAAACAAAATAGCTTAAGAGACGCCATAGCATACAGCGATAATGGTGCTCTTAGAGCATGTTTATTGGTGAAACCCAATTAGGGTATCTTAGTGATTTCTAAATAATAAAGTGAAGTTAAAAGATTTTGGTAAGAGACTTTTAATTTTAGTGATTTATTGGTAGTATCTTAATTATGGGTTTTTTAGAAAAAGTTGGAAAAAATACACTTCTTCAAAAGAATTAGCTTGTCCAGTGGCTCTAGGAGGCAGGGAGGCTCCAGTTCCATGAGGCAGAGAGGCTCCAGTTCGAGGAGGAAGAGATGTTCCATTTTCAGGAGGTGAGGAGGTTTCTGCTCCAGATGTCTGACCAGCTCCTTGGGAAGAATAAGCACCACGTACGACGAGGAGAACCCATAATCTGCAAATATTTTACCAATCTAAATAAATTTCAGATGTTCACCTAAAGAGACCACATAAACTACTAAGAAAATATATATTTTTTTTTTGAATGAATGTTAAATTTTATTCAAACAAAAAAACCCCTTTGTTTTACATTGTTACATGCTTCATAAAAAAAGAAATTTTGTACCTACACATTTCTAGAAACAAAATACTCTATATTAACTTGACATTGGCCTTGTAGAGAACCAGTAGCCAAGTCCATCCCCCAACCTTGCATTTCCCTCTGTTTGAATTGAAGCAAACCTGTTTCTAATATTCCTCTCCATAATTCTGATCAAAGCATCCGCATTCAAAGGTTTCTCACCATGCCTTCTCCCATTTCTCTCCATCCATAAGCCATGAATAGCTGTTTGGAATAGATATCGCAGCGCAAATAGCTTTGTGGTAATGTGATTCTCTGAGATTAATTCCACTATTATCCTTCAGTAACACGTGAAGTCATCTCCCATCACACCTCTTGCAAGATTCTCCCACACGACAATTGAGAAGCTACATTCAAAATACAAATGGTTCCTTGTTTCTAGCTGATCACCACACAAAGAACACACCGCATTAACTGAACCTCCCCACTTCAACATTCTATCTCCCGTAGATAATCTATTATGCATAGTTATCCAAGTGAGAAAAGCAAGCTTTGGAGTTGCAAATTGAAACCAGACCCCTTTACTCTAGGGACAGAGAGACCATCGCTTCCTTATAAGCATCCAAGTTGACCTTATGGAGAATTTATTTTTGAATTTCTCAGCACTAGTTCTCCACAAACTAACATCCTCCTCAACAGAAGCTGCAGCTTTCCATTTAGAAATCTCGTCTTCCACCAAATTAAGCAAAGGAATTCGATGCCTTCTTTTGCGATGGTTTACCACATCTCCCACCATTGCGTATTTCCCAATTCCCATTTCAATATAGCCACTCCTACCAATCCTGTCTAACAGACACCCCAGTGGAGACCATTTATCATGCCAAAAGGAGGTAGTCTTCCCATTATTTACTTGCACCTGATAAAACTGCTTTGCTAACTCTCTATATTTTAAAATCTTCCCCCACATCCACGAACCTGATTGGGTTTTATCCTTGACTGTCCATAACGATCCTTTACGGATCAAGTAGACTTGAACCCATCTAACCCATAACGACTTTTTAGTCGACTGGATTCTCCAAATCAGCTTCAAGACACACACATTATTCATTTCTTTAAGAGCTCTTACCCCTAACCCTCCTTCCTCCTTTGGCCTACACACTTCAACCCACGCAATCTTAGCCTTCTTCGCATTCAAAACCGGCCCTGACCATAAGAAAGCAGCACACAACTTTTCAATCTCCTTCAAACAAGAAGCCGGGAGCCTAAAAGCAGCAAGCCAAAAATTAGTTAAACTTGTTATCACAGATTGAATAAGCTGCAATCTGCCTGCAAACGAAAGAAACCTCCCAGTCCAGTTACTCATCCTCATTCTGATCTTCTCAATGAGGGGGAGATAGTCATTCACTGTCATTCTCTTCGTCAACAAGGGAAGACCCAAGTACCTCACAGGCAGCTCTCCTGATTCAAAAGAAAACCCAGTGATATCTTCTCTATTATGCTGATTGACTCCAGCCATAAAAAGAGTTGATTTCTCTAGATTTATCTTGAGCCCCGAAGCCTTCTCAAACTCCTTAAAAACCTCCAAAATACACTCCAAAGATCTCTTAGAACCATCAGCAAAAACCATCAGATCATCAGCGAGGCATAAATGTGTCAATCCAATATTCTGACATCTTGGATGATACCCAAATCTTCTCTGATCTGCTGCTTCATCGATCAATCTAGACAGCACGTTCATACTAATAACAAAGAGATATGGAGAGAGGGAACACCCTTGTCTAAGCCCACGTGCACTCTGAAAATATCCCACAAGTTCTCCATTAACTTGTACAGAGAAAGAAGCTGTACTAATGCAAAGATTGATCCAGTGAATAAACTTTTCTGGAATTCCCAAGGCTTTCAAGGTAGTAAGGAGAAAGGGCCACTGCACTGAATCAAATGCTTTAGAGATATCAATTTTCATTGCGCACCTTGATGAAATCGATTCTTTGTGATAGTCTTTAACCAATTCTGTTGCCAGTAATAGGTTCTCCATTAGAAGTCTGTCGCTAATGAAGGCGGATTGATTCCAAGCAATAATACCCTGCAACACCCCCTTCAATCTATTTGCAAGAATCTTGGAAATGACTTTGTAGAGAATGTTGCAGCAAGATATAGGTCTATAGTCTTTCATTCCTTCTGCTTTCTCCTTCTTTGGGATCAGAGCTAAGATGGTTGAGTTAACACCTTTTGGCAGGAATCCCTTCAAGAAGAAAGATTGAACCGCAACAGTGACATCCTTACCAATAATCCCCCACGCATCCTTGAAGAACTCGCTAGTAAAGCCATCAGGCCCTGGGGATTTATCATTAGGCATCTTGAATATCACCTTCCGTATTTCTTCTTCAGAAACCTCTATTTGCAACATCTCCTTATCCATATCACTGCAACTAAATTTCAGTAACTGCTTCAATCTTTCCTCACTAATACCCTCATACTCATTAGGAATGAACTTGAGAAAATCTTCAAAGTATTTCTCAGCTTCAACCTTAATACCATCACCCGTAATTACTCTGCCATCTCGCCCTTTAAGCTCATGGATCGCATTTCGAACTTCCCGAATTTTCGCCGCATTATGAAACACTTTAGTGCTCTGATCTCCTACCTTGAGCCAATGCAGCTTAGCCTTTTGTTTGAGAAACTTCTCTTCTAAATCTGCAAGAAACCTCCATCTTTCTGTTGCTGTTATTTCATTCTCCATATTTACCACCGACGGATCTTCCATAGTTTTTTGCTGCATAGTACAAAGAAATTCATGAGCTTCCTTAGTCTTCCTTGGAATATCTCCCAACTTTCTTCTACTGAGAGCTCGTAATGGTTGCTTAAGATTCTTGAGTCTCTTCGTTAACCTATGCATAGCCGTTGTTGAGTGATATAACGGCACAAAACCATCCCATTCTTCTTTCATCAACTTACCAAACTCCGGTAATTTCCCTATCACATTTGTGAACTTGAAAGGTCTCCTCTTTCTTTCTTCCTCTTTTACTATATGCGTTCTACTTCTCAGATGATCAGAACAACCACCTGATTCAAATATGCTATATGATTGCGTTAGTTGGTGCAACCATATATCATTAACCATGACTCTATCCAGCTTCTTATTAATTAACCCCTCCTTCCTTCTATTGCACCAGGTATAAAGAGGACCCTGTGCACTGATATCAGTAAAGCAGCAGTGCCTAGCAGCCCTCTGAAACTCCCTCATACCACTAGAAACAGACGGATCACCATCAAAACCAGAATGCTCACTACCTTCAAGCACCTCATTGAAATCCCCCATAATAATCCAAGGTTTATTTCTAAACATTGGAGAATCATGGTGATTACAAATATCCTCCCAAAGGCTCTTCCTCTCCTCCACTGTGTTTTTTGCATAAACAAAAGAACCAAAGAACTCTTCCTCCATCTCCTGTATTTTTATCGAGCACGTGATGATTTGATCACTTTTAAAAACCGGAGATAATCTCACATTAGACTTCCACACCACCCAAATCCTCCCAAGAGCATTATGCTCATAGTTAGACATAAATTCCCAATCTCTAAACACTTCTGATACGATTTTATTGGCCTTCCGTTCCTTTACGCGAGTCTCTAATAAACAACCAAACTGTAACCCACTACTTTGCCACCATTTCCTTACCACAGAATGCTTTGTTGATCGATTAAATCCTCGAACATTCCATGAGAAACCCGACATGCTTAATGGAAGTTACGAGAGCCCTTCTTATTCCTGGTGTTAGGATTTGCATCCATAACAGTAGGAACAACTTTATGATTAGTTTTAGAAGCTCTAGGAAGATTCTGTCGCTGAATCATCCCCTGATATTTTCCCCCCTTTTCATCCTCTGATTTCTTCAACTCCACCTTTTCCAGACCTTCATCTTCATTTAACTTTGTTTCTCCAGATAAAACCATTTCAGCTTCATCTTTCTTTTCCTCCTTATCCTCTAACTCAATAGATTCCTCCTCATAGTTGCTAAGAGCAGCGAATCTCGAAGGTGTGATTTGAACTTCTCCATATTTTAGAACTTGTTTCTGTTTACTTGAATCTCTCCCTGTCTTCCCTGGTGTTAACCACTCCTTTTCAATCTGACCCTCCTCAATCTCATTATCAGTTTCCTCCTTTGAACTAGAACCAACTTCCTTCATACTATCTTTCACCACTATAACACTTTCACTATCTTGAGAATCTACCTTCTTCTCCACCTTCTTAGTCAAACTCTTCTCAGAACTTTTTTCAGTTTCCTTCATCCTTTCTTTTTTACCACAGTTATCATCAGTATGTCCCCATTTCCCACACTTCTCACACCTTGAAGGTAACCAAGGATACGTATATTCCACAGTTGAAACCTTCCCCTGAATAGTGAAGTTGATGGACTTCGGAAAACCCTTAGCTAGCTCAGCATTCACAAATATCTTTGCCACATCAAAAGAAGTACAAGCCGCCGTTTCAGGATGTAATCTCACAGGTGTTCCTATTGGACTAGTCATGAAACTCAATCCTTCCCATGAAAACATATTCATCGGAACATTTGTTAGATGAACCCATAATGGAATTGATACCTTCTCTTGCACTGCATCTTCACTGACTGGAGTCCATTTCGAAACCACAAGCGGAACATCAGCTATATTCCACATACCACGCTTCAGAATTCTTTCTCTAACCAAAGGATTTGTGATCCGAAACCTCATCGTCTTTGAATCAATCTCAATCACATCAATCTTCTGGGTTTTATCCCCAAACGACCAGATCTTGTTCAATATCACATGGACCTTGGCTACATGAGGAGTTGTATCCAGAAAATTGCCAAGCACAAAATCTTCCCATAAGGGTGAAGAGTTTTCCGATACCTCATTTGGAACTTCGACAGATTTTTGACCATTCAGATCTGAAACCTCCACTTCGTATTTTCTCAACCCTTTCCTTTGAGCTACCGAGGCATACGACGGAGCACTCCTCGGCGGCGGATCACCTAGAACCTCCGTGTCAGTCATCGCAGCCGCTAAACACAGCTACAACGACCACGATCGTAAAACTCGAACAACGAAATCCCCCAATCGCCAAATCGCCAAAATCGCCTTTCCTATTCTTTTCTTATATCAATAAGAACCGAAAAGTTTAGAAAATATATATTTATCAACACAGCCACAAGAAAGAAATGATAAAGTTCTGTGTTCTTCACGTAACCAGTTTGAAAACAAGTTACAGTCTTTAAGATACTTCTAAAAAGAAATAATCCAACAAGAGAAACCCATGCTCTTGAAAGCAAAAGAAAAAGACACTAATGCTTGACTTAATAATTGAAACATGGATGATAAGAACTACGTGAGAACAATTGAAGTAGAAAACATAATTCTGTAATTTTCTTAGAGTGCAAACAGTCAATCTCCAAATGTGTAAGGGTAACATCATCACTCAGATTTGCAAAGAGACTAGGACTGAGACCTGGTCAGCTAGTACAACATCGAAGGAAGACCATCCCAAGAGAACACAAAGAGCAACAAACAAGCATCTCAGATACGCACAAACAGCATGTAGACGGTAGAACCCATGAACTTTATGACCCTGCGACGCAAGCTCAATTGTCGCATCGACGATCAATCTCTCTGTTCCACCATCGATGATTGTTCATTAGTATAAACAAGACGTGATCGTTTGATGAAGAGCGTACCTATTCCAAAATCTGGATATATAATGGCGATGTTCATCTTCTTCCAAGCCTCTTTCCTCGCCATTTTTTATCCGACTTTGCAAGAGACTCACCTTAACTTCTTCCTCCAGTAACTTCCACACCGTATCCATTTTGATGATCCATCTACCTTCTTCACTATCCTGCAAGAGGGAGAGAATCGCCACTGAATGCCTTCGCAGGTGAAGAGAAGAAAAAAAAATTCATGGTCGAGACGACACCGCAATACGACACGTGGCATCTAAGAGGCGTGCCTTTAAGCTCCTAATTAAGGGACGTTTTCTGCTTTAATCACCATTTTTCTTTTATTTTAATTCTTATTTATGCTAAGAGACCCTTTTAAGGGACACTAATAAACATGGTCTTAGTAATTTCAGAATAATCCAGTTCTTGTAGCTATTACTCTTAATTAAGGCTTTCTTGTCTTACTATATAAAAACAATAACTTAACAAGATGTCAAGTGGTTTATTCAAAGGTAACTTCCGATTATGATTGATGAATTCTTTTAGTACTTCAGTCAAAAAAACTTACGATCAGAAAAGAAAATGAGAGCAGGACACAAAGTCCCACATATATGCAGAATCAAGGAAGCTACCCTTTATCGTATAAAGCAACCAAGGGAAATCAAATCAGAGACACTAATTTTTTTTTTTTTTTTTGATCAAACAATAATTTTGCTTTGGTTCTGAAATCCCAAGAAAATAACTAGTACTGTCGCTACTCAATTGACAGAGATAGAAGAGATCGAGAAAGACTTATTCTTGGGTTCACCGCCTAGGGTAGGTTCACCATCTAATAGGATTTCATTATTTTATATTTGATATCTTTTTAAAAAGAAAACAAAATCTTATTAAGTTATATTATGTTTTTAAAAATATAAATACATAAAAATAATAATAATTAATAAAAAGGAAAATATTTTTTTTTAAATAAAATATTTTAACACTAATCCTAAATTCTAATCATAAACCCTAAACTCCTGGATAAATCATAACCTTTGGATAAATCTTATAATATTTTAAAATTTTAGTGTTAATGATTTATCCAAAGGTTTAGGATTTAGGACTAGAGTTTAAGGTTTAGTGTTTATGATTTATCCGAGGGTTTAGGGTTAAGGATTATAGTTTAGGGTTTAGTATTTATAATTTATCCAAGGGGTTAGGATTTAGGATTAGAATTTAGGTTTTAGTGTTAAAATAACATTTTATAAAAAAAAATCATAAAAGTTATCCAAAGGTTTATGATTTACCCATGGGTTTAGGGTTTATGATTACAGTTTAGGATTTAGTGTTAAAATATTTTTTTTTAAAATAACTATTTTCGTTTTTATTAATTATTATTAACAATTATTTATTTTTGTATTTTTATGATAACTTAACAAAATTTGTTTTCTTTTCTAAAAGATATCAAATATAAAATAATGCAATCCAATTGAATGGTAAACCCTAATTAGGAGTGAACCCAAGAATAACTTCTCGAGAAATCAAAATATTGTTAAGAATCCATATGAAAATCCAAATCTGAGTGTATTCTTCTTTGTCGTTTAAAGCACAGTATAGGAAAGACACTTGAACCTTACTTAATAGTTACCACCATATAACATCATGGGACTAGTTTTCCTAGAAGCAAAGCTTCTCTATCAGATTCATGTGTTCAGCTTTGTTAGATTTGTCTATCGATGAATGTACTGAAGAGTGAAGATTGAGCTATGAATATTTCCATTATAATTATTATTTTATTTTCAATTACACGTATAACTCCAAAGAATTTTGTAAAAAAAAGTAAATAAATGAATCGGTCAAACTAAAAGAAACAGAAACCCTCGGAACTATCAGCCGGATGTTACGGGAATATTGAGTAAGTAAGGGGAGACACGTGGAGGGAAATGGTTGATTGAGAGTGTTCGTTGGAGTTTGTTAGCGAGGGAGAATAGAGAAGCACGTGGCGAGTTATCATTCGACGAAGCTGGATAGTTTGTTAGAGGCAATTCTATATAGCAGAGTAGTTGTAATTGAGAAAGATATTCGAAATCATTTCTTGTAAACTCTCTAATTCTGGACTCATCTTTGAGGAATATACGATTCATTGTTTGGAGAAGGTTCTTCTTGATTTGTGATCTTCTACAGGTGAATCTCGTCTCTTCGTTTTATGAACGTTGATTCGATCTATCGGTAACTAGTTTTACCTTTAACAGTGGTATCAGAGCCGTCGCATCCTTGGAATCGATGGCGGAGACACGAGCTCAAGCTCTTTTGAAGGAGACGGTGGCGCGTGAAACGGAAGAAACGTTCGCGAACCGTTTCGAAGCGTTAGAGAAAGCGATCGCGGTACAGAACGAGAAGATCGCGATTCAAAACGATAAGACGGAACGCAACATCGCAGAAATGGTGGAGGCGTTTCGATTAATGACGAGTCACCCGAGTCAACCAGGGGCGTCGACGAGTGAGACTCGGAACGTTAATGGTGGATCTTTAAGGAATTCAGGAACGCCGGATATTCAACACGAGCATCACCAACCTATGCGGCAAGGAATGAATACGCATTATAATGGAATGTCTCGTTTGGCGAAACTGGAGTTTCCAAGATTCAATGGTGAGAAGCTTAAAGAATGGATTGGTAAGGTGGAGCAATTCTTTGAGATTGATTTCACACCAGAAGACTCGAGGGTGGGAATTGCATCGTTGCATTTCACTGGAGTGGCGGCGACTTGGCATCAAGCTTTGATGCAGGAGGATGATGGGAGAAGAATGTTGAGGGACTGGGTAGGCTATAAGGCGCTATTGCAGGAGAGGTTTGAAGAAGTTTTGGATGATCCTATGGCGGAGCTTAAGGAGTTACGTGAAACGGAAGGTATAACGGAGTATCATGCTAAGTTCGAGTTAATCAGAACAAGATTGAAACTTTCTGAGGAATATTTGTTGAGCGCTTACTTAGCTGGATTGAGACTTGAAACTCAGATGCATGTGAGAATGTTTCAACCTCAGAATATTCGTCAATGCTTGGTACTAGGGAGGTTATACGAGAAGGCTCATCCAAGGAAACCTGGAGGTCATCAATGGAGTGGTAATAAACCGAGTACGTTAGGAAGTAATCAATCTAAAGGCTTGATTCCGTTTAAGAAGGAAGAAACAGTCAAGAACAAAGACAACAACCCTCCATTACGGAAGTTTCTCACTAGTGCTGAGATGAGTGAGAGGAGAGCAAAAGGTCTTTGTTATTACTGTGATGAAAAATACACTCCTGATCATTATTTGAAACATAAGAAGACGCAGTTGTTTCTGTTGGAGTATGAAGAAGAAGAGGAGTTAGAAGCTGATATTGCTAAGGAGGAAGAGAGTGTAGAAGGAGAAGGAGCAGGAGAGTTAGCTCAAATTTCAGTAAACGCTGTCTCCGGTGTTTCTAACTACACTACTATGAAGGTGAAGGGTGTCCATGGGAAGAAAAATTTGTATGTCTTGATTGATTCAGGATCTACACATAATTTCATGGATAAGCGTATAGCAGATTTGTTGGGGTGTAAGTTACAGCCAACAGGAAGAACGAGGGTATCTGTGGCAGATGGTAGTAGAATTGGAGTATGTGGGAAGATTGAGAAGTTCAAATGGCAGTTTCAGGGTCACCACTTTCAAGCTGACTTCATGGTAATCTCATTGGGGTGTCATGATCTTGTTATGGGAGTGCAGTGGTTATCTACACTTGGACCCATTACATGGGACTTCCAAGAACTACAAATGCAGTTTAAATGGGGAAGGAAAAAGGTTTTGTTGCATGGCATTAAACCAGGTTCTGTGAGGGAAGTAAAAGCGAAGCGTGTAGAGGAGTTGATGGATAAAGAGGTGCAATTACATATGTTATATGTTAAGGAGGAAACAGAGGAGGATGAGTGGAGTGTGAAGGCGGTTGAAGTGGAGAAGAAATCTGTGCAGGAGGAGTCACAGATTTCGACGTTGATAGAGCAGTATAGTGACATCTTTCAGGAGCCAACATCACTCCCTCCATACAGAGAACATCATGATCACAAGATCACCTTAACGGAAGGATCCAACCCTGTGAATCAGAAACCTTACAGATATGCAGTGTATCAGAAGGATGAGATTGATAAAATGGTCAAAGAATTGTTGGAAGCAGGGACGGTACAACCGAGTTCAAGTGCTTACGCCTCTCCAGTGGTATTAGTGAAGAAAAAAGATGCTACTTGGCGGCTGTGTGTTGATTACAGGAAGCTAAACAGCATGACAGTTAAGAACAGGTTCCCTATACCGTTGATTGAAGATTTAATGGATGAGTTAGGTGGCTCAAAAGTGTATTCGAAGATTGACTTGCGTGCAGGATATCATCAAGTGAGAATGGATCCAAATGATATCCATAAGACAGCATTCCGAACTCACAGCGGTCACTATGAGTATAGAGTGATGCCTTTTGGTCTTACAAATGCACCAGCAACCTTCCAAGGATTGATGAATGGAGTGTTCAAAGAGTATCTGAGGAAATTTGTCCTGATTTTTTTCGATGATATACTGATATATTCTTCTTCGTTTGAGGAACATTTGGAGCATCTGAAGTTGGTTTTTGAAGTGATGAGGATCAACACCTTGTACGCAAAACGGAGCAAATGTGCTTTTGCTACATCACGTGTCGAATACCTTGGTCATTTTATTGAGGAGACAGGAATATCAACTGACCCAGCTAAGGTTAAGGCAGTATTGGAATGGCCTATTCCTAAAAACTTGAAGGCTTTGCGTGGGTTTCTGGGTCTTGCTGGATACTATCGACGTTATGTGAAGGAGTTTGGGGTAATTGCTCGACCTTTGACAGCTTTAACTAAGAAAGACGCGTTTGTGTGGCATGAGGAAGCACAAAGTGCTTTTGAGCGTTTGAAGCAAAATTTGTGTGAAGCACCAGTACTTGCTTTACCTCGTTTTGATAAGCAATTTGTGGTGGAGACGGATGCTTGTGGGACGGGAATAGGAGCTGTGCTTATGCAGGAAGGTCGACCTCTGGCTTATATAAGTAGACACTTGAAGGGAAGACAGCTTGCTTTGTCAATTTATGAGAAAGAATTGTTGGCAGTGATCTTTGCGGTGCAGAAATGGAGACATTACCTCCTCACTCAACACTTCATTATCAGAACTGACCAAAGGAGCTTGAAGTACTTACTGGAGCAGAGGCTAAATACTCCTATTCAGCAACAATGGCTTCCTAAATTGCTGGAGTTTGATTACGAAATTCAATATAAGCAAGGCAAGGAAAACTTAGTGGCTGATGCTTTATCCAGGGTGGAGGGATCAGAGGTGTTACACATGGCTATGACAGTGCTTGAATGTGACTTGTTGAAGCAAATTAAAGAAGCTTATGAGACAGATTCAGGGGTGAAAGCATTGATAGAGGAGTTGAAGAAAAATCCAAAAGCAAAGAAACATTTTGCTTGGGATTTAGGTATTCTGAGAAGGAAGTCTAAGATTGTGGTGCCAGCTGAGGCCACACTGCGCAATACTATATTGGAATGGTTACACGGGTCTGGTCAAGGGGGACATTCAGGACGTGATAAGACAGTGCAGAGGGTTAAAGGGATCTTCTATTGGAAGGGTATGTCTAAAGACATACAAGCTTTTTTGCGCAGATGTATTGTGTGTCAACAGTGTAAATATGAGACAGTAGCTACTCCAGGTCTCTTGCACCCACTGCCTATACCTGAAGCTGTGTGGACTGACATTTCCATGGACTTCATTGATGGTCTTCCACAGTCCTTTGGAAAGTCGGTGATACTGGTTATTGTTGACCGGTTTAGTAAGGCTGCTCACTTCTTAGCTCTGAGTCATCCGTATACAGCATCGTCTGTGGCTCAAGTATTTCTGGATAACTTCTTTAAACTACATGGGTTTCCGAGATCAATTGTTAGTGATCGAGATGCTGTTTTTGTGAGTGATTTTTGGCAGGAACTCTTTCACCTGCAAGGCTGTAAGCTAAACCTTTCTACAGCTTACCATCCTCAGAGTGATGGCCAAACTGAGATTGTTAACAAGTGCTTGGAGACGTACTTGCGCTGTATGACAAGTGACAAGCCTCAGCTTTGGTCAAAGTGGCTACCCCTTGCAGAGTTTTGGTACAATACTACTTACCATTCGGCAGCTTTAACCACACCCTTTGAGATTGTCTATGGACAACAACCTCCAGTCCATTTACCTTACCTACCGGGAGAGACTAATGTTCAGGTGGTAGCTAAGTGCCTGCAGGAGCGTGAAGATATGTTGCTGATTCTGAAGTTTCATTTGCTCCGAGCTCAACATCGCATGAAGCAAATGGCTGATAGGGGGCGTAGTGAGAGGAAGTTTGAAATCGGTGACTGGGTGTTTTTGAAACTTCAACCATATCGGCAGCGTTCAGTGGCAATAAGGAGCTCGCACAAGATTTCACCTAAGTACTTTGGTCCATACAAGATTGTGGAGAGGATGGGTGAGGTTGCATACAAGTTGGAGCTTCCTGCAACGACACAGATTCATCCGGTGTTTCACGTTTCACAGTTAAAGAAACTAGTGGGAGATGTGCGTGTTGCCAATCAGTTGCCAGATGTGGTGTATGAGTCGACTGCTAAGGAACCAGAGTATTGTCTGGCGAGGAAGATGGTTAAACGCCAGGATAGAGCAGCTACGAAAGTCTTGGTTAAGTGGAAGAACCAACCGGAGGATGAAGCTACTTGGGAATTTTTGTATGACTTGCAGCAGAAGTTTCCTGAGTTTAACCTTGTGGACAAGGTTCTTTGAACAGGGGAGATTTGTTACGGGAATATTGAGTAAGTAAGGGGAGACACGTGGAGGGAAATGGTTGATTGAGAGTGTTCGTTGGAGTTTGTTAGCGAGGGAGAATAGAGAAGCACGTGGCGAGTTATCATTCGACGAAGCTGGATAGTTTGTTAGAGGCAATTCTATATAGCAGAGTAGTTGTAATTGAGAAAGATATTCGAAATCATTTCTTGTAAACTCTCTAATTCTGGACTCATCTTTGAGGAATATACGATTCATTGTTTGGAGAAGGTTCTTCTTGATTTGTGATCTTCTACAGGTGAATCTCGTCTCTTCGTTTTATGAACGTTGATTCGATCTATCGGTAACTAGTTTTACCTTTAACACCGGAGGAGGATCCCTATTTCCCTCCAAACTCCTCCTCGATCGCCTCCGTGACTAAACACCGCGACGCCTCCATCAATTCAGGGCTGAGTCTAAACATCAAAACGCAAAACTCCATCTGGTTCAACGCGCCGTCGCAGTCAAAATCCCCGTCGTTAATCATAGACCGTACGTCTTCGTCCGTCAGATCCACCAGACCCAGAACCGTCGCAGCGTTGCGTCGGAGACTCTCGAACGTAATGACACCTTTATCTCGATCCATCAACAGCTCGAAACCGTTGCAGAGCTCTCCGATCAGACCTTCGCCGCCTAGCTTCCCAGCCATCGCCGGAAGGAAATCGTGGAAACTGGGTTCTGGGTTTTGTTGGGTCTGTCTAATTGGTGACGCCATTTTAATGTTTGTTGAAGATTAAGATTTGTTACAAATCGTTACTTTTCGATTGTTTTTGTGTAATTGGTTTATGTGGAACATGAGAGTATATAAAGGAAGAGACTTTGTGGTGATTTCGGAGAAGGAACATATCATCTATGGAAGCCAACTAAGATTAGAACAAGGAAGGTCAGTTCCGTGTCTTGGAGATTGTCCCACTTGTTTCTTGTCGGGTTTCTTCTCGGAAGCTTACCCAGGGGTAAGATAGTCAATTCATGAGGTGTTGTCTCTGATTCCACGGACATGGTTTATATGGAACGACGACTTTTCATTTGTTTTACTTTTTGGAAGTTTTCTGCCACTTTCCTTTGCAAGTGACTTGGGATATTTTATTTGATAGAGTAAAAAAATGTGATTATTTTCGTTGAGGATTTGGTCAGGTCTGCGGAAATTACTCCAAGCTTTCCTTCTATTATCAGACAGAAACAATAACATGAGATGCACCAAAGGAAGATACTAATAAGAACGTAAGCTGAAAGCAATGCCGGTCCAATATGATTTTTTTCTATGCATTCTACTTTTTTTTTTCAAATTTTGGTGTCCCACATTCAACCGACAATGTAATGGGAAACTAAATTCAACGACAGGATATTCTATTGATTAGTACTGAAAAATCTAACCAAATCTTGCTTATGCATTAAAAACGGCGTAGGTTCAAAGAACAAACATTGAATTATGACTAAATGATTAATGATGATATCTTACGTCGTTGGATAATCTTCTTAACACCCGACTAGTTTTGGGGTGGACATTAAGTTTTGGCAAGTAAGAAGTTTTCTAAGAATGTGTAGCTAATGTCTAGTGACGACCACATGACGCAAACTGATATTTACCAATAAATTCAAGGACTTATTAGTTTTGGCACAGGAAAACGTAACAGATATACGATGATTGTTCTCTAGTGAAAAATCTCTGTAATGCTTACACTCCAACGTAGAGAATGTTAATGATACAAAAAATGTGAATGCAAAGAAGGAAAAAAAAATGTGGAGAAAAGAAGAGGCCCATGTTAGTACATCCCTTTAGGCCTTGCATTGTGTTTAAAGTCTTTTTTTCTTTCTCAGAGACGTATTGTCTTAAGGGCTTTAAACGTAGGGGCCTTTTTCTTATATGAACCGATTTATCGATGGATTTCATCCGATATCTCTACGTATGTTGTTTGTTCGTTAAAAGTTTCTGATACATGCAACATGTATTCACATTTTTTAATATAAAAAAGCATTTGTCATCACCAAAACACTAAATTCAACTTTATTTATATTTTTGTTACAACCTATATAAAGGAGAAGTGGCGTCAGCAATGCATATCCTCTGAAACCCAATACATGGCCCCATCTCTTAGAAGACGAGCACTGAGAAGAAGGGATGTATTCAACTCATCTGAAAATTCATTTATATATAAATGATACGCATTCTGAAAATTCTCCATAGTTCTGAATTGCTCCAAAAATCCTTATCCACACACACAAGAAGACAATAATGGAAGTAAACCACCACACACCACAAACTTTGTGCATCTGACATCTCATCTTCCTTTTGATTCTTCACACCACCGTTGTTTGCCACGAAAGACTTTCCTCATATCAAAGCATGCCACATACGCACAATCTCCTCCTCACATCATTTTACACCATGTAACTTTATTACAGAATTCATTGTCCTATGATGGGTCAGCCAGAGCCACACACACAACACAAACATTTTTTAAATCCATATTTACAAAATTAAGAATTATGGTCCAAGTACATAATACCCGCCTATGTATTACAGAATATATATAAATGGATACACAAATGTTTGATATTTACCATTTAACAAAATATAGATGGATACACAAATGTTTTGGATCACTCTGAAAAGAGAAAAAGAAAACATAATAACAAGTGGTTGACGCGGGCCCCAGCAGACTTGTATTAAGGTCCAGACATATCCCAGGTGGGTTCACGTGGCTCCTAAGCCCGTTGAGAAACTTATTCGTCCACGTAGGACGGCGCAGAATCTCGCTCTCCAATTCCCATGGCTGAAATCTCGCCACGTCATCTCCTACAAAATATCTTGAAACTCAACCATTGAGTTTGTCCCCACGTAAAACGGCGTGCTGGCCAATTGTAATAATTAAGTGGTTTTCAACTTAAATAAACTAATACCAGTACAGATTAAAGCAGATCTTAATGTAAAATTAGATGTGCTACTTTTTTAATAAACGAGGATCGAAACTAAAAACCAAACGCGTTTGACATTCTTGTATAGGTAGAAAATGAGTCAAGAAATAAAACCTAATAACCATTGAAACATCAATGGAAATGACAGTCTCCAAAATTTTTAATTTCATGATAAAGTCTTCAATTAACAGAGGTTTTTCATTTTAATAACTATAATATAACGATTATGATTATAAATCGCTGGGTGCTAATTATTGAACCATTCTTCTAAGTAATTAATTTGAAAATGAGATGGTTTCCTGACCACAGAATAGAAAGAAGCATTATGAAACCATAGAAGAGAAATAGTTTTTTTATTCGCTTGAGGCAAAAGACGAAAGTAGCCTCAAAAGAGAATTGAAATCACAGAAAACTCGCCACGAAAATAATCCCCCCTGCACCTTGAACTTTCGTCTTTATTATTTCTCTTTCCCCAGAAAAAAATAGAAAAAAACACCGAAAGGAGAGACAAAACCAAAAACAAAAACTAAAACCAAAACCTTCAGAATCTAATGGGTAAGAAGAAGTGTGATCTATGCGAAGGTGTTGCAAGAATGTATTGCGAGTCAGATCAAGCGAGTCTTTGCTGGGACTGCGACGCTCAAGTTCACGGCGCTAACTTCCTCGTCGCTAAGCACACGCGCTGTCTTCTCTGCACCGCTTGCCAGTCCTTAACGCCGTGGAAAGCCGCGGGGCTACGTCTCGGCCCTACCTTCTCCGTCTGCGAGTCATGCGTTGCTCTTAAATCCGGTGTTAGGATTGTGTCGGATGATAGGAGTCAGGAGATGGATGGCTCCGAGCACGAAGTGGATAGCGCCGAGTCGTACGATGATGATGAGGACGAAGATGAAGAAGATGATGACGTGGACGAGGAGGAAGCGGAGATTCAAGTGGTGCCGTGGTCTGCGGCGGCTGCGGCGCAACTACCTCCTATGATGAGTTCATCGTCTTCTAACGGTGGAGGAGATCTGGTGGGGAAGAGGAGGAGGGACTGCTCCGATGTACGGATCCATATTCTTTAAAACAATCTTGAATACTTTCCTTTTTTGGAATTAATCGTGATTTCTATTTTTGGAAACTGTAGGAGGAGATCGGAAGCTCTTCAGGTCAGGAGTTAAGCTATTCTCCACCGTTGAAGCGACCGTCGAGAGAAAAACACGCCTTCAAATCAACGGCTGCGGTTAACTCTCTTAACATATTAGAAGGAGAGGGCACAACATTGAATGATCGCGCCGTTGATTCATCTCCCTCATCTTCGTCTTCTCTGATCGTCTCCAGAACGAGGAGAGATGTTAACCGTTGATTCTCCAATTTCCGCTTTGATAAAATCCTCACCGTCCATTTCTGAAATTCTAACAATACCTGTTTTAGTCATGAGGTAGTAGTTAATTGATGTTGTGCAACATTGTATTTGATCTTATTAATATCATTATTATGTTGTTGTTTTTTTTCAATCTTAGTGACTTATTTGGATTCGGATCATCGTATGTATTGAAATGCTTGAAATTTCGGATTTTGATTACAAGTTTATGGAATTGAACCCAAAAAAAGATTACAAGTTTATGGCTGATTCTATGGATCAAAGGAATGGGTGAGACTGGTGACAGATGGATACATTGATATGCATAAATAATTAAATATAAATATATGATTGTCGTTTGCTTTGTAGTTTTGTTTCGACCACACAATAAAATTGTGGGGACTACAAATTTAAAAAAATATAAATTAGATATTTTTGGGTCCTTAACGTTTCTTTTATACGGCAAGAACATTGAACCTGTCGACTGTCGAGTATGCGAACTGTTTTCGATGGTCCAAGAAGATAATGTCATCCCATGTTTTACCTTAAGCTTATCGCATCATCTTCCTGGTTCACATGATCTATCCTCTTTATACGCTATATAATATTCCGGATAATAATTTACTAATTTTGTCTGTTTGGTTATATATATGTATATAAAAACAAATTCATATCCTACCAAAACATCATTCATAATCCCATCATTTGACAAAAAAACAAATAAATCCCACGATAAATGGATATGAGTAAGTACAAAAGTTTTGTTAGGAAAAATTCGGTGGCTTTCACAATCGACGCAACGACCAATCGTCAAAGCATTCAAGCTTTCAGTCCATAGTTACCAAAAGTCAAAACCACCTGTCTGTATCCCAAACGTTGAGTTTGACAATTAGTTTTAAACTTGCTCATTAATTTAATAAGCACAACCTAACATTCTTTCAACAACAACGTAATGTGTATTTACACGACATCATAAATTAAGGATATAATTCACAACTAACCAGGCGACCTGTTTGATGAATGACTTATTAGTCAGTTTGAGAAAATGAAATATAGCAAATCAACATTGATCTTGTAGTATCATATGGAATATCAAATCAGATTGACGAATATCCTCTATGAAAACTCACAAAATAATTAGATATTAAATTAACATATACATTGACCAGAAGATTTTTATGAAACATATTTCTTAGAAATCTTCTAAGCGAATTATCTGAAATTATTGTATATCTATACCTAAATCCAGTGAGAATTGTGCTTAACTTCTCAAGCATTACAAATCTCTTAATAATGAAAGATACTTATTTGTAATTGACTAAGATTCATTAATTTAAGTAATTGCAGTGAAATCTACTTTTAAAATCAAAAAGTTTGAATTTTTGAAATGATATGAAAGAAAATGAAATATAATAGTTTGTATGTGTAAAAAGTATAAAAAGATATAGATGTAGATTTAGAGTTTGATAGTTGTTAATAGTGAGTGGTAGGTGATATTGACGACAATGATAATTTCGTACTAGGTGATGAGTATTTATGCTTGAATAAAAATAATTTAGCAAAAAAATGGTATTTTTGTTATTTTCTAAAATTTTAAGGTAAATAGGATAACAAAAAGATTAAAAAGACAGTTGTTTTGTGACTGCTCACAAACTATAAGTCATTTTTGAAAGAACTCCTAAACTAAAAACATGGGTTTTTTTGAGAATTTAAAAGGCCATGGCCTCTTGCGCTTATTGTGACACACGGTTATCCTTCCAAGTCCAAAACGGTGGTATCTCCATCGCCTGACCTTCCCAAGCTAAGAATTTCATAACTGACCTTGCTCAAACGCTTTTTCAAGCTAAGGTTCCCATTCTCTAACAAATACTTCAACACATTTGCCTCTTCTTCTGTTCCTTTATATGCAATCCACTCAACAGTTTCAAGACTGGACATCAAACACTCAGGAACACAACTCGGTCTCTCCCAGTTAGTCCGTTCATGTTTAGAATTTTGGCAGCTGTGTCTCTGAGACCAACAGTTAAACAAACAAAAAAAAAGAAAGCTGAAATTAATATATTGAAAATACATGCGCAACACCATCTAGGTTGAGACCATAACTTACCGTTCGAGACAGCCTAAGAGCTCGAAGTTTAGGAGAATGTCTGAGAATAATATTCAACCAATCTAAAGAGCACATAACACAAAGCTCTTGAGACACGAGCTGATCAAAGTCTCCTTTTAGATATGGATCCTGCAAAAGTTTAATTATTGCCCATTGTTAATTTTTTTAAGGCTGAATAATTATGCTATTAAGTGGCATAAAACTAAATGTAATCACAAAACCACACAGAATTTTTTTTTGTACCTTATGTGGTATTAAACACAAGGAAAGTTGTCTAGCTGAGGCAAGAGATCCAAGAAGCTTCTCAGAATCACAAAACCTAAGTTGGATCTTTGCTTCCAAACGCTCGGGGACATTCACAAACGAACAAAACCCGCTAAAATGGTCGACAATACGTAAATACTTTAAACAAGGAGCATTGATCACATATCCATGATCATATCTCGGATCTTGATAACCACATACTAAGTACTCAACCTCTAAGCTTTTAAGCGACGGGACACAAATCGAATACGTCTTCACATTGTCAGCTATCCATCGACGTATAACCAACGCTTCAAGAACAGGGAAGCAAGACAGAAACCTCTCAACGGTCTGATCATTCGAGAATCTCATATCTTGAAGAGATAAAGTCTTGAGACTCCTGAAACATGTTTTGGAAGGAACGTTCTCAATACTCGTTCCTTGGAGACGTAACACAAGTAGGGTTTCGTGTGTGTACAAGCTCATAGGGAACGGTATGAAATCACAGCAGTAGTAATAAAGAAGGTTGAGATCAAGCACGTTACGAGCAACCGCAACGTTAACCCATTTTTCTAAAGTCTCAGGGGCGTAATCTCGGCGATTACAAAGATTGAGATGGAAAGTTTCTAGAACTGGGGATATGTTTAGCTCCAAAAATTTGGTGATAAAATCTGAAGGTGCAGCGGATGTGGCATGGTATCTGTATGAACCGTCGTGAAAGTCGAGCTTGGGAACTAGTTTCCACACGGAACGCCATCGTTTGGACAAAAGTGACGTCGCAACAACCTCTTTTGTCGGGATTAGTAACAGAATCTTCACCAGCAAGTCTTCAGGTAACTCACTGATATTTCTCATATCAAACAAAATAGTAGGTATGCTATGGTATCTGCAACCGGAACAAAAGTGACCCGTCACAATAATGTATGTATCAAAAGAACCCTAATCAGATCAGGCTCTACACCATTTACAAAACAGATAATGGACCGAGGTTATTTAAGCCCAACTGCAGACCTTGTAGAGAGAAAAAAATAGGCCCAAAGGTTCTTTCTATAAAAAACCACTAAACTTAGGAGATATTTTGTTTGGAAAAATCGCATAAAAAACTTTTAAAATGGCACTTACTAGCACTTTAAATCTTGAGCTAATTCAAGTAATATATTAAACATTTAACTTGATTTTTGTATCACAAAAAACCTTTAATTTGGCTTACTTATTCATAGGTCAAAATTGTGGCATGCTAACCATACAATAGCATGTGACGGATTGTTTTTTTTTTTATAAATTAATAAATATCATTAACAAAAAACAACAATAAAACCTGAATAAATTTTCTTTTAAATTAAAAATTTTTTTCTAAAATTGAATTTAATAAAAATAAAAAATATTTTCGTAAAATTGGATTTTTTTTAAATAAAAGTTTTGCAAAATAGATTTTTTTTTAAAAAAATACAAAAATCTTAATTTTAAAAAATCAAAATATTTTCTTTAGTATTTAAAAGTGTCATTATCGATATAACTAAAAATATTACCCTTAATGAAGATATGACAGAGTATTCATGTTAATGGTGATAATGTTCAAAAGTATTTAATTTTGTGTTGAAGTTTTTTTAAATAAAAGTTTTGCAAAAAAAAAAGATTTTTTGAATACAGAAAATTTGAAAAAATTTCATTTAAAAAAAAACAAAATATTTTCTTAAGTATTTAAAAGTGTTATTATCGATATAACCAAAACTATTACCCTTAATAATGATATGACAAAGATTGTTCATGTTAATTTTTAAAATTATTTTAATTTTTGTGAGAATACTTTATAGCTTTTATATATTTTAATTTTTTTTTGCAAAACTTAAAATTTAAAAACTTTAAAAGTTTAAGAAAATATTTTGATTTATATTAAACTCAATTTTAGTTTTTTTAATGTAAATTTCCTAATTTTATTTTAGCTTTTATTGTTATTTATTGTTAATTAAAAGAAAGTCAAACCATCACCTACTATTGCAGATTAACATGTCATAATTTTGACTTGATGAACAAGTAAACCAGGTTGAAGGTTTTTTTTTGTGATACAAAAACTAAGTTGAAGGTTTAATATGCTAGTTAAATAAATTCAAAGTTTAAAGTGCTAATGAGTGCCACTTTGAAGGTTTTTTATACGATTTTCCCTATTTTGTTTTATTTTTATAGGTATTAATAAAATTTAGTTTTTCTTTTTCAACCGTCCATCTAATCTAGATAAAGTGGTGGTCAGACGAGTCGATTCTACGAGAAATACCTCCGTCTGAATAATATTTGGTTTATACTATAAAGTTTTTGAGATTATATATTTTTATAGAAATGTTGTTTAGATATGCGTGTGGTTCAATTTTTTCTAACATTTTACACTAACGAGTATGAAAACCCACTAGGAAATTATGAACACTAAACTCAAAAAATAAATCAACTAAGCAATCAGAGAAGTAGAGACTAGAGAGGACATACATACCTTTGCGAAGGTTTGTTTACAGGTAGGCGCGGCATCAACGCACTGTATGAGATATGTCTGTCATGCTGAGAAAGTGAGAGTTTGCAAATGTGAATCAATCGCTCGCGGTCACATACTGCAACTTCTAGCTTATTCTTCTTTTGTGGGGTCGGTCCTGGAATTAATCAATCTCAGCTTTTATTTATTGAGTTAGCTTTTTCTCTCTCAGCAAGTAAATCATTCAGTTTATGTATTGCTTCCATATCATATTCTGCTTGCTCTTCCATCATCTCAAGGTTCTGCAAAGCTTCCATTTAAAACAATGCCTACTCTTCCTGCAACCTCGTAACAACCGCTGTAGCCTCGTTTCTTCCTCCATCTCTTTATATAAACCAGTTAGTAATTTCCTTTCATGATCAACTTGTTTTCTCAACTGATCATTCTGACTTTCTCCTTCGATCCCACTCACATAAACACCTTCCAATATTTAGTTGCTCACGTTTCCATAAGAAGCATAGAATGTTCTTGTTACCTGGATCAAGAAATAAAAAAAATGTTATCACCACTTGAAACAAAGAAATGAAACTGAGAGAGAGAACCAACACAAGAGACAAAACATGTCGTGAAAGAAAGATAGTCTTACAATCACAATATAAAACCGTGTCTAGCTCATAGTCTGAAAATATAGATACATATAAACTTGTTTATTCAGTTGATTTTTTATTATACGACTATGTCAACGAATATAAAAACTTGTTGATTTAACAATCTGAACTCAAAAAGCTTGTTGGACAGATGAATAGGATAGTTTTGGTTGATGTTGCTGGACTGCTGAAGGGAGAGGAGAACAAGATTCATACGTTGAGGAGGGCATTAATGAAACAAAAGACTACACACGTGAACATACAACAAAATGATCAACGTAATAAACTGATCAAGCAAAAGCTAGCTGACACTAGTCATAGCTTATTTACATTAGCCGCAGTCACATTGGTGGTTAGCTTGTTCTGAATGAATGATTCCATTGTATAACACACCTGGCATCCATACAAATTGTTTCCTTTTTGGAATCATCATGTATGGAGAAGTTACAAAGGCTAATCTGTGGAATTGAAGCAATCATTTTGTTTACAAAAGAGCTAGAACACTCAAGATCATCCGCAATTTATCAAACTTGCGGGGATAGCTCAGTTGGGAGAGCGTCAGACTGAAGATCTGAAGGTCGCGTGTTCGATCCACGCTCACCGCAATTAAATTTTTTTTTTTTTAACTTTTACTTTATACGTGCCATTTTTACTTTTGAGCATATACGGATTTAACTTTAGTTAGAGAGATATGCGGTTAATTTTTTTTGACAACAAAATAACATAAATAAAAAAATATCCTTATGTCGACCCACACTCACCGCAATTAAACATTTTGTTTTTAGTTTTACTTGGTACTTACCGTTTTGAGCATACACTATAGCCCAATCGAGAATAGTACGTTGTAAACTTCACCTCTGAGAACGGTAGAATCTTCTTACACTCTATAACTCTATAGTCTATATCAAAAATTCAAATTTAGCATGTAAAGCTGATAGACATGATACATACCGTTTGAGCATATAAGGAAATCACGAATTTAAGTTTTAGTTAGAGAGATATGTGGTTAGTTTTTTTTTGCCAACAAATTAACATAAACAAAATCTTATCCTTATGCCAACACCAAATCAAAGACCCAAGCTGGTGTCAAAGAACCACAATAGTACACGGCTGAAAGAGAATTGCGAACACCTCGTACAATTTGTCCAAAATTATATTTCTTGTTCTTGGTATATGCTCGAGTGAGAAATGAGGAAATAACGTTTTACATCGTTGTATTTCCTTTAACATGGATGCGAAAACTGGCCATTCTGTCGGTGTAGATACCATATTCACCAATCGAGAATAGTACGTTGTAAACTTCACCTCCGAGAACTGTAGAATCTTCATATACTCCATAACTCTATAGCCCATATCCAAACTTCACATTTAGCATGTAAAGCTGATAGACAGGGTCGGATTGTCATTGATCCCATGATCTTACTAGAGGCCTCCCTTGTGAAGGAAAACCATCATTGACCCGAAAACTTATCATGTTCTTTCCAAGTGTCATCTAGATAACACCAGTTGCATTGTATAGCTCTGAATTAATCAACGGACTAAAGCTCAAGTTAGCATTATAGTTTGATGCGATTGAATAAGAAATCGGCTGTATTAGTATACATGTGATAAGTAAGATTGATTGCAATTATGGATTAGTATTACACATGTTCACTTTGCATACAAACAATCAATCTAATATAACTCTTGATCCGCATGCATGTTCTCAGATACTCATCCGATGAAGAGATTAAGATTGAGAGGCTAACATGAAAGAACAGTGTGATCGTGAGTCGTGACGATCAAAGAAGACACTGACTAATGTGGTTATGTTTGTTTGTCATAATAAGAAGAGTGATAAGCTAACTAAGAACCTAAATTATGAAGAAAATAAATGTAACCATATTAATATAATTTGGTTGAAGAGCGTTAAAAAACCGGGGCAACTCCCATCTTGCCCATCTCCTCTACTTTGGTGTTCAAAGCTCCGTTCAGTGATATTTGCAGTGTCGTTTCTGAGGGTGGTCTTTGGAAAGTGCCTAGTAAAAGAGAGATATAAATGTCAATTTTAACACCAATCTTCAATGAAGATTACAATGAAAAGTTATACGAAGCACCACTAGGTTTCATGCTTAAGATCATCAACAATTAAACATTAATACAATTAACCTTAATCTATGTTAAAATAACACATGCGGGGATAGCTCAGTTGGGAGAGCGTCAGACTGAAGATCTGAAGGTCGCGTGTTCGATCACGCTCACCGCATTACTTTGTTTTCAGTTTTACTACTTGATTGTAAAGTTTTCTTTATGAAAGCTAAAAATATATGCAAACCAGATTAACGTGTACAACTTGGTGGAAGAACTTTGAATGCATGACTAGTTAAATATCCCAAGGCACACCAATCCGGGCAACTCCCATATTGCTTCCCATATTGCCCATCTTGGAGTAAAAGAAATCAAAAAGGTTCCTCTATAAATCCACAATCAACACTCAACTTCTCATATCCATAGACAAAGAAAAACTAGAAATGAAGATCTCAAAAACCCCATCGCTAGTTATGATTCTTTTTGCAATCATGTTATGTTTTTTGCGAGCCAAGTCACAAGGAGTTTACTGCAGCAACCCATATGAACTATGTTTCCAGAAGTACATACTGTGTCCTCCAGAGTGCCCCAGCACCGGTGCCGCCACTAATAACAAAGTTTGTTACGTAGACTGTCGTAACATTCTCTGCACCTCCGAGTGTCGCAGTAAGAAACAAAAGGCTTTGAACATTTTTTATAATTTATATTAATCAAGGTGTCTATATTAAATAATGCTTTTAGGGGCGCGTATAAGTTGCAATAGACCTGGACCGGCTTGTAACGACCAGAGGTTTATAGGTGGTGATGGGACTGTGGTCAATTTTCAAGGAAAGAGCAATGAACATTTTAGCCTTGTCTCGGACCCTGACCTTCAGATCAATGCAAGGTTCACTGGCCACAGGCCAGCTGGTCGTTCTAGAGACTTCACTTGGGTTCAAGCTCTAGGGTTCCTCTTCAACTCTCATAATTTTTCCCTTGAGGCCACCAAAGTAGCCACTTGGGACGACAGCATCGACCATCTCATATTCTCTTTCGACGGCCAAGATTTAGTTATCCCCGAGAAAATTCTCTCCACATGGTAAATATTATAAAAATATATAATGATTATTTACATACTAGTAAATGGTGTAATGTTTTGTATATATCACTACAAAAAAAGAGGTGTTTAGCATCATTTATTTTATATTTTTGCATTAATTATAAATGATGTTAAAGGATTTTGCATCATTTAAATAAATGACTTTGAAAGTGGTGATGCAAATAATTCACATCAATTCATTAGTAAATGATGTAAAAATACTAAATACTAGGTGTTTTGCCCGCACTTGCGGGCTTAATAATTTTACTAATATCTATAAATAAATATATAATCAATTTATGTAAATTATAATAAATTATAGTTCATAGACTCAAAATATTTAATAATAAACTAAACACATTCTTTTTATATATAAAATTTTTCATCATCATATAAATAATTTTCATTACATAACTTATATTTGAAAATACTCATGAACTTAAAACATTTAGTAATAAATTAATATCATTTGTAGACATAACAAAAAAGTATAAAAAATTATCTTTAATAATGTTTTGGATAACACAATATAAATTTTCTATACATAAATTCTTTGCGAATTGATTTTTCATAATTAACTATATATTAACAAATAGAATTAGTTTTCAACGTTAATAAAGACTTTATAACACAATATAAAAAAAGTTAGATAAAGATAATTATCAAATTCATGAGATTCATTTTTTAATTTAGAATTAATTATATGTTAACAAATAGAATTATTTTTCAAAATAAAGACTTAATCCCATAATATAAAAAGTTAAATAAGGATAATTATCAAATAAATGAAATTCGTTTTTAATTTATAATTAATTATATATTAACTAATATAATTATTTTTCAAGGTTAATAAAGACTTTATAACCCAATATAAAATAGTTTTAGATAAAGATAAATCTAAAATCATTGAAATTATTTTTTATTTATGTTTAATTATATTAATTTTTTTAATTATTCATTAAGGATATAAACGATATTAACCGCTCTAACTTTCAACGTGAAAGTTACAAATTAATCAGCAAATTCACTTAAATTTTATAATTAAAAATATATTTTTAAGATAACAATCTAATACAAAAGAATTAACATATTTTCTGAAAATATAATATTATCAACATAAATTCGTTTTTATTTTATAATAAATTATTAAAACATGAAAATAAGCAAAATAACCTAAAATCATGGAGAAGTTGACAACTAAGCAAATTTACTTCTCAAATAATGTTTTTTAATAATTATTCATTAAGTATATAAACGATATTAACCGCTCTAACTTTCAACGTGAAAGTTACAAATTAATCAGCAAATTCACTTAAATTTTATAATTGAAAATATATTTTTAAGATAACAATCTAATACAAAAGAATTAACATATTTTCTAAAAATAGTATATTATTAACATAAATTCGTTTTTATTTTATAATAAATTATTAAAACATGAAAATAAGCAAAATAACCTAAAATCATGGAGAAGTTGACAACTAAGCAAATTTACTTCTCAAATAATGTTATAGATTTACATCAATTGCTATAATTGATATCATTATGTATCAGTTACAAAAACTGATATTAACAAATACACCAGTTATTATAAATGATGTTAATATTGGGATCAATTAAGATAATTGATTCAAATTATTTATATCATTTATTAATAATCGAAGCTAAATTAATATTAATTTTAAATAATTTCACAATTATAATTTATAATTATTAATTACGAATATTATTATCATTTTATACAGTAAATAATTTTTGTCAATATATAAATTAAATTGAATATTTTTCATTAACATTTTTCTTTTTCTTTTGAATTTATAATCTTAAAAATAAAAACGCACATGCCTAAAAAGAAACACAAAGAAGAATTACAAGATAGAAAAGAATTGTAAATGGTTAAACAAAATTTTCCATAACAGTTAAAATATTGAGATCCTTCTTCTGTATTTCTTCAAGTTCATTGAAGAATTCTCCATCAATCAATATTCCTGGAGACTTCTATTCTTCCTCCATTTTTGAACAAAGTCAATTCCTTCTATTCTTTAGATGCTCCTTATCCTAGCAATGAAGGATACTTAAACCATAAACATAAGACTAAAAAACTTTTAATCTTCTAAAAGTGAGAACCAAGAGAAGAAAAAGTATTACCTCTAAGAAATTAATTTCAATCAGATTTGAATGATTAGCAGATTCCAGTTTTGTTTAAGTTCTTCATCAGAAGAAACAAATACAATAGACTTTAAACTAACAAAGAAATTGAAAGAAAAAAAAGATGAAGATGAGGATTTTAGAGGAGATAATAGCGTTTGTTGACGTGAATCTGTTATATAATAACATGATCTAACTAGAGATTTACGCCACAAAGATTATAAAGCCACAAAAAGAGGTGGATCAGTTATACCACTTCTCGATTTTTTTTTTTTCTCTTGGGTTGATATTATTTTTAAATTAGCTAGTTAACGTTTTATTTGGGATTGTAGTAGTGATTCCCTTTTTCTAGGTAACCGACCAGTTATGTAATTTTACTATATAAAATTATATAAATATATATAATTTTAGTAACTAATTTTATTATTTTATCGATGTAAACTAATTTTACTATATTAGATATTTTAAATGATGCAAATTAAGATAAAACTACATCATTTTATTAAATTTACTCATATAAGTTTTGTTAGCATCAGTTTTTTATTGATATAACTTATATATCATTTTAATAAGTGATGTTAACTAAAATGATAAATGCATCAGTTGTTAAATTGATCTATACTATTAAAGCAGAATCCCTACTAGGATTCTGCCCATAGATTTTTGAGTTATTTACAAAGATATACCACTAACATTTTCAATATAATTATTATTAATTTAAACTAAACAACTAAATATTTCCTATATTTATGGTAACTAATAATTCTCTGATTTTGTGCTTAATAATAACTTTATATTTATGCAATTTGTATTTTTGATCTCCTATTTTCGTGTATAATATCATTTAGTGATCGAAAATTAAAAATTATTATTTACTAATTCATAATATTGATATGTCCATTCAATGTTTTTATAAATTACATTTTCGAAATATAAATAAGTAAAAATGTAAAGTTATCATAGGTTATTAATAACACAAAGAATCTAATACTGTTATATGAATAAATTATTTTCTATTACCATTGTTTCATTTTTTTCAAATGACAAAAATTCTTTAAAGTTTAAGAAATTACAGAAAATAACAATTTTCTTTAATATTAAAAATATGTGTTATTTAACTAAAGGTTTCTTAAAAATGTTCAGTTTTTATGGAAATTTTAGCGGATCTATATATATTATATTGCGGGATATTTACCAGTTTTATCAATTTTATAATTAATAAAATTTCATTAAATCTTAACCGAATATATAAATAAGTAAAAATGTAAAGTTATCATAGGTTATTAATCACAAAAAAACTAATATTGTTATATGAATAAATGTTTTTCTATTACCATTGTTTCATTTTTTGAAATGACAAAAATTCTTTAAAGTTTAAGAAATTACAAAAAAAACAATTTTCTTTAATATTAAAAATATGTGTCATAATATTGATATGCCCATTCAATTTTTTATAAATTACATTTTCGATATATAAATAAGTAAAAATGTAAAGTTATCATAGGTTATTAATAACAAAACTAAACTAATATTGTTATATGAAGAATTTTTTTTCTATTACCATTGTTTCATTTTTTTCAAATGACAAAAATTCTTTAAAGGTTAAGAAATTACAAAAAAAAAACAATTTTCTTTAATTTTAAAAATATGTGTTATTTAACTAAAGGTTTTTAAAAAATGTTATCAGTTTTATGGGAATTTTAGCGGATCTACAGATATTATACTGCGGATATTTACCAGTTTTATCAATTTTTTAATTAATAAAATTTCATTAAATCTTAACCGAATTATACAATTGTCGAAACTATGGGTATGAATCAGATATGGAAACACACAATACGTGAAAATCAAACAATATAATAGAACATTTTCATATTGACAGAACAACTTTGATTTTTTGTTAAAATAAAATGTATTAATTCAAATAAATTTTATTAAAAAGATAACATAAATCCGCGCTTTTAAAGCGCGGGTCAAAATCCTAGTATAAGTTTATAAAACAATATCAATTGTGTTAAAATGATGCATATTCATGTAAATTGTATCATTTTATTTGAATTGATGTTAAATTAATTAATAAAAACATCGGTTGTCCTAATTGATTCAAAATGATATATATTTGTGTCATTTCTAAATAAGTAATTTAAAATAGTATCACTTATTTTTGTGATACAATTTAAGTGATACAATTCACTTGTTTTTTTTGTAGTGTATTAAAATTTGTATACTGGATTCTACACTAAACACATGTGAGTTTAAGCAGGTACTCGCCCAAAAAAGACATCAAGATTGAGAGGGCGACAAACATGAACAGTGTGACCGTAACAATCAAAGACAAGGCAGAGATTAGGGTCAATGTAGTTCCAGTGACTAAAGAAGACGAAATGATCCAAAGCTACAAAGTGCCTTCAGATGACTGTCTTCCCCATCTTGCGGTTCAGTTCAGGTTTTTTAACCTATCCACAAAAGTCGATGGAATCTTGGGACGCACTTCTAGGCTTGGTTTCCAAAGTCAGGCTAAGCATGGAGTCGCAGTGCAAGTGGTTGGTGATGAGGATACATTGAGGACATCTTCTCTACTCTCTCATGACTGTAAGACTTGCATTTTTATGAGACTAAGTAGCTCTACCAAGTGGGAGACCAAACAGGCAGTACTGGATTTAGATTGCACTCGTGGGGCGTCTTCTGGATACGGAATCATTTGCAGAAGCAGGAGGTAGTTTAGCCGAAAGACCGATCTCCTAGTTAACTTATCGTGTAGAAGCAAACAAATGGAGATCTTACCTATGTTAAACTATGATAGACTGATTTCTAATATCAAAAGTTTATCTTAAACTGTCTAGACAAACTTAGAGAAATGGTATCATCTTACTTTTGCGGCAACTATTTAGGGAAAATGAAAATTATTTCGTTAAAACCATTTACTAAATGAGATAACTCGAATGATGGGTTAGTGGTACTGCTTGAAGTTCACAGCAGTATGTTTACTATGCACCCAAAATTCACCAGCTAGCAGTTGGCCTTACTAGAGGATTTTTGAATCCACACAAATAAGTTTTATATTCTATATGCTATGTGATGATATACCATTGTCATACTGTTTTTTTTTTCTTTTAAATGTGTAAGTGCAAAATTATTTGAAGTTGAGGGTATGACTATGAGTTTTGTAGATTGATTTGTATGTACATTGAATTGTATGGGATTCTCCCATGCCAATCATGGAATCCCATGAACAACCAACCCCCATCCTTATCATCAATTAATTCTTATTTTTAAGGATAACTAGCTTTTGATCCGCGCGTCCGCGCAGTTCTTTGTTTTTTTATATTAGAGATTCAAATGTTATTTGGAATTGACATTGATGTGTCTTGTTTAAATGTGATTAGTCTTCACTTACAAAACTATGAGATTGTGTTTTTGTCTTATTGTATTTTTATTTAGCTTAGTTGGCAAAGTAAACATTAAAATGTGAAAGTTTTTCTATATAAAGTTCAATTTTTTTTTCGAAAATTTTAAAAACAAAAATATTATTTAGAAAAACAAAAATAATAATGAAACGAAATTCAGAAATAGATTAAAAATGAGAAGATAATTAATTGAAGTTAATAGTTTAAATAATTTGGTTATAAACTTATAATTAAAATGGGCCACAACTTAATTACTATTTTCAAATTTTAGTTTCATTATGGACTTTAATTTTATTTTAATTGGTCAAACCCATATATGGATTAAGACTAATGGTACGAAGATGTAATTTTTGAGAAAACTATGGGTTAATTCATATTTGTACTCTTGTTTTAATAGTTTAGATATCTTACAACACTCTAATACAAGTTTTCATGACTAAAATAACACACAAAAAAATGTCCAAAAAAGTTTTGTTAAAGAGCAAAAAGTTAAGTTGCTTTAATAATTAACACATTTAATAAAAATAATTATTATTTTTAAATTTTACATCTTAAATTTTAAATTCTAAACCATAAATTTTAGTTCCCAAACTTTAAATCCCTCTCCACAAACTTAAATCAGAAGTTTAAATTAATTAACGTAAGTGATATAAATGATTTTTTGCTTTTTAAGAAATTCTATTTTGTCATTTTTCGTTTTGGTATGATATTTTGTAATAAAAAATGTTTTTGTGTTATTGAGTACAACTAGATTACCTCTTTTTATTACCACTGTCATTAAAAATTGACTTGTAAACGTCCAAGACACTAAACCAGTGTTTATCATTTTTCAGACCTCATTGAGTGTTCCTTCGCAGTTTGATCATCCTCATCATCGCCGACTCGCTAGGTTCGTTGATTCTCTTGTTGTCATTTCATTGGCTCTCTCGTGCTATTTCATTCATCTGAAGTTTTCCCCTTTATTGATTTTGCTTGGAGTAAGACAATCATGATTCTGATATACAATGTTGCTTTTATAGCATTGTTGTGGGTTTAGCAAATGGGATTCTCCTTTATCTTTTTGAATTGTTTTTTTATTTTATTTTACAATTTAGAGACCCAAGTCATGTCAAGTTAATTCCTCAGACCTCCTTGTAGTTCCAAGTCATTTATTGCTTCTCCTCTGATCTTAGTTCTGTGATTCAAATAATTCCTCAGACCTCCTTGTAGTTCCAAGTCATATATTGGAGAGTCATACGAACACTACAAGTTGTTGAGTTGTCTGTCTTATAGATCAGATAAAAATTGTAAAATGGCTTACTGTATTTTGAGAAGTGTTAGAAAAAGAAGTGAGTTTCTATATTATTCTGGCTTCAAAATTAGTGACAAAATCTCCACATTGTTTGGCCTCTAAGAGTAAGGACAGCATCCATCTGCAAGCTGCATTGAGTCTATCTACATTGCCTCCGAGTCAGTTTAGATGACCAAACAAGTCTGCTAACAAGCGCACCTAACCGGTTCGCTCCAGGACCCGGTTTGATCCTTGACGGATCACCAACCCTGGAGCATTTCTTCTCGCCTGCACACCAACCACCAGGTGTGAAGTTCCCGTTACCTCTACCAAGCAGCTCAATATCAATCTTGTCTAGAGCAAGATCATTGTGTCTAAACTTGCGTGCAAACGCAGCTCCACTTGCAATCATCCTCTTCGTGTCATTGATGTTGAGAGTCCTAGGATGTTGTTTTGGAGGTTTATCCCACGAGATGTAATGCAAGTCGTGGTTAACAACCGTGTCTGAATACTCTGGTGCGTTGCATATCACAGTGTGGAAATATCCTTCAGGTGTAGAGAGGAAGTTGGAGTAATACATTAGTAGAGTCCGTGGAAGATTGTCCCATCCCCAAATACAATATTCTATGAAGGACCGTGATAAAACCATCCAAGCAGATCCTAAAAGTTGCCATCAAAACATATAGTTAGTCGCCAAAAAGTTTCATTACTTGAGTATCAAGTAATGTAACACTACTCACCAGTGAATAGTTTGAATGCAGTTGGCATGGTTCTACGAGGTGTTACCCAGTAGACATCTGACTTCTTTGTCGAGTACAGTCCCGGGTCTATGATCAGAGGCTTTGCTCGTTTTTCTCTGCCATAAAACCACAAGAATAATCATTACTCTTTCAAAACACATCTCAAAGGTATAGTATAGTACAGAGAAGTTTCAAGAATCATTACTCTTTCCAGCCTAGTTTGCTAGAGTGGTCTATAAAGTTGAGGTTCCGGTCCAGTCCAGAGAATGTATGTATAAGATCTGCATAACAAAAAAAAAAGAGCATTGATGATCCAAGCCTAGAGATTAATTAGACATTAATATAGTGTATACCATCTTGAGTCACTAGAGGATAATCAGAGGCACTGAGATTTATAAACCAATCCCAATCTTTACTCAGCTTCAAGAGAATAGCACATGCATGAAGCGTATTAGCCACCATAGTTGGTCCTCTATATGTAACGAGATTAGCCTTTGTGATCATGTAAACATTCCCAACGTCGCTAAAAACAGGATCTTCCCTCACACGTTTAGCTAACTCAAGCCTCTCTTCAGCAGGAGACTCAAGATCGAGATGAACAACGTATTGGTTCCTTGGATGGTACAATGCTCTCAACACTCTCCATAGACTTTCTAAGTCACCTCGTGACCCTGAAACTAGATAACCAAAGCGAGGAGGAGTAGACTGTACTGGAGGAGGATGTTGCTTGATCTTTGACTCAGCGAATGTGATGGTTGTTTGGTTTGTGGTTGGTAGATTAGAGGAGAAGATGAGTGAGTTAATGGAACGCACGGAAGAGAGGAGACCCATGTTGAAAGATACAACTGTGAGGAATATGAACATGAGGGAAGCCATAGCTAGAGGGAAGATCCATCTCCTTTCTGAGTTTGAAGACCCCATTGAAGAGCCTATTCATAGGATCTGAAGTACGTATACAAGAATTAGTCAGCAATATATTCACAAATGGAGATTGCCCCTAACATACGTAATCAGTGATCTATAATTTGATGAATCGTAACGACGTGATCACAAAGTATGAGCCGATCTTTATAATAAATAATTGAAAAAATACGTCAAAAAAGACAAATCTATAAGTTGTCTGAAAACAAGACATACTCTCTTTCTAATACTCTACGAATAAAAAAAACACACATTAAGAAACGTAAACGATGGAATTATCATGAGACCTGGTTATTGATTTTATCGTAGACGTGACGCAAAAATGTTTAAAAGCTCCGGGCACTTCACTATCCAGGAGGAGCGTGGGATTTATTTGTGTTTGAGGATTTTTTTTATTAATGAAACTGTTAATATAACTCAATTGTCTAGGACAAAAACATAAAGAAAGAAAGAAAGAAAGAAATGTCTGAGAGTTATAAGTTCTTCTGGATTTCGGTTTTCCACATGGATATGTTTTCGTTTTAAAATCACTTCCTTGAAACGGTGCGTTCTCTTTGACTTTTTTTTTGGTTATGGAGAGTCATTGATATTTATTGTTAAATGCCATACCTAATAAATAGCATTTATTAATTTGGCTGAAACGTGATGGACGAAACGTTTGTTAAAAGAAAAACAAGCAAAAACGTGATGGATCGTCGACGGTAACTATTACATTTTCGGATAAAATGAAAATGGGGCTGTGGAGGCAAAAAATGCTAATAGTCAAACGTGCAATCCATTACATGATCAAGTAGACTATCATTAGTTATACTAGTTGCATACTCCCCGCGCAAGCGCGGAGCCGGAATCATTATGTTTGCGTATATTTTTTTCGATTTAGTGGTTTAGTGTATTCTTCTAATGACACCAAATATTAATGAAATAGAAAGAATGTAGTAAGAGTGTACAGTGAAAATATTGTATATCTAATGTGTTAAATGTTATTTATATGCGAAGTAAGGTTTATAGGAACAGTTAGGTTATAATATAGTTTTTAGTGTGTAAAAGTAGGTGTCTATTTTTTTTTTTTTTTGCTGTAAATAGTTTTTATATCGTATGTCAAAACTTGATATAATTCTATATTTATAGTATTTATATTTATATTAAACGATTTATCAATTTAAAAATAACCTTAATTAAGTTAATATTCGTTGTTTAAGTTTCATTAGATAGGTTTTTATATATGGGTTTTTATAAGTTTGGGTTTTGTTCATAAATGATGTGGCATTTTTATCTACGGCGTCATCGAGGAATCGATTCGCCAAAGTCTAGAGTCGGTGGTGAGGAATATTTTCAATGAAATTATAGTAGTTATTAAAATGTAAGAGAAATTACATATTCATTTAATAAATAACGAAAAATACTTAAATTTTGTTGTTTATTTTATTTTATTTCACATACAAAATTTTTGAAAATATATTAGGAATGAGTTAAATGTTATTTATATGTGAAGTAAGTTTATAGGAATAGTTAGGCTATAATATAGTTTTTAGTGTGTAAAAGTAGGTGTTTTTTTTTTTGCTTTAAATAGTTTTTATATCGTAGGTCAAAACTTGATATAATTCTATATTTATAGTATTTATACTTGTATTAAAAGATTTATCAATTTGAAAATAACCTCAATTAAGTTAACATTCGTTGTTTAAGTTTCATTAGATAGGTTTTTATATATGTTTTTTTTTGTAAGTTTGAGTTTTGTTCATAAATGATGTGGCAATTTTATTTACGGCGTCATCGACTGTGGGAATATGTGCAATGATTTCACTTTTTGAGGTCTTAATCTATATTATTCAAGCCTCATTAAGTCATCCACGTAGGTAGCCGCGTGGGATTCACTTTTTTTTTTTGGTCGGTTCGTTTTTGGATTCATTTTTTATTATTTTTGGATTGAACTATATTATAATATGATAGTTTTAAGGCTCTTTAAGCAATCCGCGTAGGCAACCGCGTGAGACTTGCTTTTTTTTGTTTTTTTATTGTTCGTTTTTGCATCCATTTTTAACTATTTTTAGCTTGAACTCACTAAGCTTTAGGGTTTATCCAATTAATTTGATCATTAAAACAATAAGTCATAAAAAAACATAAAAACCTTACAAACAAAAAGCCCATATGATAATAACCCAAATAAAAAATTCAAAAATAAATGATGGTTGCGTGGTTTGAACCCACGATCTTGCATGCTAAATTAAACACCTTATACCACTTGGCTAAAGTGTATTTCATTGTTTGTAATCATCTTGCCAAGAATATAAGTTTTTAAAAAATACCTATTGGGACCCACAAAACTGCTGACGTGGCGCATTGTGGAGTTTATAAAGTGTACTATTATAATATAGATTAATCGTAACTTTAATCAATCGATGATGTTTTAGTGGTTTCTTAGACATTTGATAAGCCAAGCATGTGTGTGGTTGGGATTAGCGGTGGATTCATAAATATATTTTATTATAGTTATTATATATTTAATATTAAATAAATATATTAAATAAAAATATAAAAAATTGTTGCATTAATTTTATTCAATCTTTTAATAAAATATTGATAGATTTATTTTAATGATCTACAAATACTGTAGTTTTTAATTTAATAAGATATTGAATTTTGAAACCCCCATTTTGGAAAAATACAAAATAAATAATTCTTATTGTTAAATGCAAAACATATCAGTTATGTAAAGGTTTTAGACTTGGAAACGTGGACATGATTTAATTTTGCAAATAATAAGAGTCAATGCAATGTGATGTCAAAAAAAAGAAAGAAAGAAACAATACAATGAGTGTCCTATAGATAAAACGGTAACTAAATGTCTTAGATTATTAGTTTTTTTCATTTTTTTGTGGTGAAAACAATAAGGAAACATACTTATCCCTCTATATATTAAAAGAGAAGTACATTTGCCAAGTGGCACTCACACAGCCCTTCTCAGAAGAATTCTAGCGATTCTATTGGTTGATTTTTTAGAATTTATTTATTTTATTTATTTTTACCATCGACACTACTAAAAAAGAAATTCATTTAAATACTTACCTTTTGTGTTTTCTCGATCAAAGAACATCCTTTTGCGATCCTTTCTCTGTTTAATTCATTAAATACTCATTAAATATTTTAGATGCCAGAGAAACAAAATTAATTGACAAGATATTTTCACTCTTAAAATCGTGCATTTAAAACAAAATTAATTGATAAGATATTTTATCTCCTAAAATCATGCATTTAAAACTTAAACCAAAATTCTGGTGCAATCTATTCACGAGATGTTCTCATTTAGCTTTATCAACAAGATATTCCAAAAATAATATTACCTTAAAAGTATAAGATTTATTGAGAATTTATTAGAGAATATGTTACTTCTTAACTTATCATGCAAGCTAAATCATTGAGAAACGTCCATCAATTTACTATAAATAAGACATTCAGAGTAGAAGAAATGAAATCATTGAACTTTGTATTCTGAACTTTTTATGTTAATAATATTCTAAACTTTTTTTTTCTTCTTATTTTAGAACATTAAGCTTTTATATTTCATGAGAGCTGATTATTCTTTTGGTTTATATGCAGATATCCTATTATGACGATTTCTCCACTGAAGCTATATATGGTTTGATTGTACACCTCTTTGATATATCATTTCGATAACATCTTTGTTCCTCAATCTGGTAAAAAAAAATCACTATTTGATAACATCTCTTAGCTATATCATTTCAATAGCATCTTTTTGTGCTGCCAATAATTTTTTTCTTCTTGATTAGTAGAGTTATATTATTGTTTAGAATTATAAGCTTATATATACATATATATTTCTTTGGTTTGCTGATTGTAATTTTGTTTTATGATCCATTTAATTAAATTTTTTTATATTTTTTTGGTTTGCAATTATATGATATTTTTAATTAAAGTTAAATATATAGTAATATTTATTAATCAAAAAGTTATATCAACTACTTTTTATATTTATTATTCCTTATTATATATCATTTAATATTTAAATATCTATAGTTCAAATGTAATTTACCTTAATGTTTTTAGTTTATTAATAACCTACCTTATTTTGAACACATATTACTTGTGCAACTTCAAATTATATTTATTGCATTGTTTTAATGCAATTTACCTTAATGTAATCGTCTTTATAAACTTACTTTGAACACATATTACTTGTGCAGCTTCAAATCATATTTATTACATTGTTTTAATGCAATCTACCTTAATGTTTCTAATTTGTTAATTCATTTTTAAAAACTTACCTTATTTTGAATATAATTTAATTGCACAAGTTTATAACATATTAATTGTAAATCATTTAATGACAATATAACTTTAATATCTTTCTTTGAACTGTTTCATTATTTATTATGAAATTATATTCCTAAACATCATTTGTTATGAAAATATCTCCCTAATAACATAATAAAAAAGGAATGTAGAGTATATATAAAGGAGACACCTAAGGGATGTCAATACTAACTTATTAGTCTATTTTTATTCGATAAAAAAATTTAAATTTATAAATTCTTACATTTGTTTGTTTTTTCAATTAACAGATAAATAACACAGATGAAAGACCGGTTGTAGTTAACTACAAACCATTTATCAGTTTGTTTCAATAGTGATATGCAAATTTAATATTATTTTTCTCTCAATAAAATTTAGAAATCTATTAAATTATTTTATATTGTACAATTGCTAACAAAATTTGACAATTTTTTGCAGGTTTCTATGGGATATTTTTAATTTATAACTGTTCCTCTTATTTTATATTACTTATTTAATTCACAAGATTGATTGGTAATAATTAAAAATGATTTATGTTAACGCATTAAATTCAGAACATCTATATAGAAATAAAAAGAATGTAATAAATAATACGAATATATTATTTGATACTAACTTATCGTGCAACCATATCAACACTATTATATATATCTTACATTTTCTTATGGTTTACATTTTAAGTTGCTTAT